GCCAAGAGTGGGCAAAGCTGTGATCAAGGCAAAGGGGGGCTATTTGAAGAATCTCAAATTCACTTTTTTGGTTACCACATGATTCCACATGTGTTATTTCATAGTTTTGATGTCTTCACTAATATTCTACAATGTAGAAAATAGTAAAAATAAAGAAAATCTCTTGAATCAGTAGGTGTGTCCAAACTTTTGACTGGTAGTGTACATATCAAGCTGTATTTTGATTTGTCTTTTGTAAGCAAGCTTTATATCTATATCTTCCAAAAAACACTAACTGGCTAGATAACTGTTAGCTAGCTAGCTAACATTAGTCAAACGGTGGGGCGGGCAGTCTCGCAACTCGGAAGCGTGAAAAATGGTCAGAGACAGAGATTTGTATATAATGACGAGATGCTAATGCACGTGTCAAACTCATTCCACGGAGGGTCGAGTGTCTGCGGTTTTTAGCTCCACCCTTGTACTTGATTGATGAATTAAGGTCACTAATTCGTTTCCCCTCACCTGATTGTCTAGGTCTTAATTGAAAGGAAAAAAAACAAAAACTTGCAGATACTCGGCCCTCCGTGGAATGAGTTTGACACCCCTGTGCTAATGTCGCCACCCTAACAATGGGAGTTGTTGTCCTAAATGCGGGAAGGCAGACAACAAACCTAGGTCCAAAATAAACCCATAGAAACGCATTGGGCTTATTTTGGACAGATTTTGGCGAGAGTGAAACCTTTCGCTTCGCCTCTTCCTCTCTGTCAGAGCAAAGCAAAAGTTTAACCCATTCATAGATGCTAATTACCTTTAGCGCCTATTGAGGATAGTATCTTCTGGCCGGGGAAGTTTTGATAAGAGCCCCGATGCTTGTTCTGAACGTTAAAATGGATCGCTTGCGGTACGGTTTTGGAAACATAAGGAACATATATTTTATATCGGCGAGAAATAAACAAACAAAAAGAAAGTTAAATTACCATACACCTTTTATAGGGTTAGGGTTCCCACACAGCCATATCGCCATGTTACAGCGCTTGTTTACAGAAGATAGACCGAAGACATAGGCGGCCACCTGTGCTAATTAGCTATCTAGCGTGCTCTAAACACCTGTGTGTAAGCGTAACTGGGGAGGAAGTGTAGTTCGTCAACTGGAGGCACACACAGGATATGGATCTGTGCAAAACTGCTACAGTGTATCTTTTGTATTTGAAAGATCTTTCTTGCTGATATGAAAGATAAGGGGAATATCAGCATAAGTTTAGAAAACCATTTTGCAAGCGATGGTTAATGACCTTTCTAAACATTAAAACACAGCGTAGGAATTGGGGGATTTTGAGAGCTAAGCAAAAGTTGCAGACAGCTGATTATGCCTTTAGGGATAGTGGCCAATCCTCAAAAAGGGCTTTTGTTTTTGAGATACCCCTACCTGAGGTAGAACAAAACACAACAATGTTTTTTGACATCTCTTATGTCTCCCATTTATGAAATGGATGGTTGGGTAAAAATATTTTACTGCAAAAGTGGTTAAATTGATTGATAGATATTGTGACTCACCCATTAAACTCAAAGTGCAGAATCATGCCTGTCTGGAGGGGGGATGGGCCGCATAAGCTCATGTAACCCAATATTGCAAGCTCTGATATTGTATACATTTGTAATACAAGTAGTCAGTCGTCTGCACTACATACACAAACTAACAGCATTGGGAAATCTTAATGGATTTTCCTCGAGAGAGGGTAACAGTTGAGATGGGTAAGGGCTGTAACAATGTTCATTGATGCCCCAGGACACTGAGATTTCCTTTAGAACATGATATGTGTATCTCTCGGGCTGCTGTGCTGTGGTCGTTTCTGCGGTGTGGAGGTGAAAACCTAAAGATTTATAACGTTAGAAAGCAATTCTGTATGGCGATATGAAAGAAGAGAGTAATTTCCGAATATGCTGTTAAATAGAACAAATAGTGTAAATATCTAAACCCCTGTATGAATAGAACACAAGTCTAAAGGAGGAATTGGTGAATAAAATTATAAAGTAACATAATATTTTTATTTAACCTGGCAAGTCAGTTAAGAACAAATTCTTCTTTACAATGACGGCCTACCCCGAAAAAAATTGTGCACTGCTCTATGGGACTCCCAATCACAGCTGGATTGTGATACAACCTGGAATCGAACCAGGGTCTGTAGTGACACCTTTAGCACTGAGACGCAGTGCCTTAGACCGCTGCGCCACTCGGGAGCCATATTGAGTATGATGGGTTACTAACAATATAAATAATAATAGTAATATACAACTTGCACACTGAACTCAAACATGCTCACGATGTGAGTCATGTGTCCAAAGTGGGAATTACCAGTCCCCTGGGGCCCTTTGGTAAATATGCACATTTATTGTCTTCATATGCCTGACTGTTGTTGAAAAAATATATTTTGGTATTGGTTGACAGTTACTCCAAATGGATTGAAGTTTTCCCCACATCAAGTGATATGTGTATTGCTGTTGTTGTTTTCTTTTCTTTGTTTTTGCCTTGCTTTAATAACAAATCTCACCAGATTGGGTCTGCTGGATGGTTGGGATTTCTCCCTAAGGATTGGCCCTCTAACTCCCTGATCTGTAACTCTGCAGTGAGATAGCCAAGATGATAGGGGAGTATAAGCCAATTTGGAGGAAACAAATGGTTTCAACTGTGTGTTGTTATTCTCTTTGACATTTGTTTTAGAAATCTGTATTAAGAATATTGGTAGTAGTAATAATTTGTCTTACAGTAAATCATTTGTCTGGATTTCCTTAATCAGAAATGCCCTAAACTAAACTGTTGTTCTGGTCTGTCCTTTCTCAAGGTTATGGCGAAGGTGACCACAGATAGTATCTAGATGCATGGAAGGGATCATTTGACCAAGAACAGTGTAAACCTCAACCCCTCTTAACCGGCTGAAGTAATGGCGAAAATGGCGTTCAATATGGTCCTTCACCACTTCTACCTTGAGACCTGAGTCCTAGCCAGCAACCTGTACACAGCATCCAGTCGAAGCTATCAACTGCCTTTTCTCTCATGCCTTTTCTCTCAGGAGTGTGACATGAGTCCACGTGGAGTGAGCATGGAGAGAGATCCCATCCAAACTCTCATGCTACTGGTGTACTGGTAGGAAAATGGACAAGACATAATGGACTGTAAAGGACAGTGGCAGCTCAGGTGAGAGACATTATAAAGGGCCCTCCACTTTGAACATGTGCCATTAAAAGAACGAACTGAAACACTATCTGAAGAAGAACATGAAGAAACGCCAGTAGGATGAGTACCGGGAGGGAGGGGGGTGGTCAACCGTGCCCTTAATTGATTTAGGCTTATCCAAAATTGTTTATTTGGGATATCAGGTTGATTGTGGAGGTCTGCACACTGCGAAATATATAGTAATTTAGACTAAGAATGCATTGAGATATCACTCTGTCATTACCACAAGTGATGAGAAAGGTTAATGCAAGAAAAATAAGATGAATATACTGTATGTCAATGTAAATGTACATTTTGTGTGCTAAGTTGAGGGTCTTAAATTAAATTAAAACGTGATAGAACCAACGTGAAGCACTAAGGACTGTCATTCTGAATTTGGGTTGGATAATTTATCAATAGTTATAATTATGATTTGGAAAGGCGAAGCTTCTAGAGACAGAGCTATGCCCCTATATTGTGAGGAGAGACACTAGATTGTAGCTTGGGCTAACCTTGCCACAATCTTGTTCTTATCAAGGTTGGTGTGAAACTGTTATGACATGTTCTCTCTCTTCCCTGGGAAAGTCAATATGCATGTGCCCTAGACCAAATTCGGGAGATCTCTAGAGACGTAGAGAAAATTGGAAATGCTAAAAGAATTGCATAAATTGGCTCTGCAAAACTGAGAGGCTCTTGACTATCTTTCGGCAGGTCAAGGGGGGACTTGTGCAATCATTGGCGATGAATGTTGTACTTTTGTCCCAGATCACGCTTCTAATATGACTGATCTCACCTACACAGCTGTGCCACTAGAGATCCTGGTTCGAATCCAGGCTCTGTCGTAAGGGCTATTTGACCAAGAAGGAGAGTGATGGGGTGCTGCATCAGATGATCTGGCCTCCACAATCACCCGACCTCAACCCAATTGAGATGGTTTGGGATGAGTCAGATCGCAGAGTGAAGGAAAAGCAGCCAACAAGTGCTCAGCACATGTGGGAACTCCTTCAAGACTGTTGGAAAAGCATTCCAGGTGAAGCTGGTTGAGCAAATGCCAAAAGTGTGCAAAGCTGTCATCATGATTTGTTTAACACCTTTTTGGTTACTACATGATTCCGTATGTGTTATTTCATAGTTTTGATGTCTTCACTATTATTCTACAATGTAGAAAATAGTAAAAAATAACAAAAACCCCTTGAATGAGTAGGTGTGTCCAAACCTTTGACTGGTACTGTACGTGCCATATTCTGGTGTAAAAACTGTAACATGATGTGACTTCTGTAAAGCAAAAGGATTAGCCTTATTAAGCCTGAGCTCCCACTTGCTAAGCTGCATGTGAACTCTGAAAGAATAACTTCTTAAATCACTAACAATTCACCCTGTCTGCTAATACCCTAAATGATCTATACCCTTTGCATGAGCTTTGGAAGGAATTCATGTCTGTCAGAAACCATTCTTTCACAAAGTTAATTTGGTGGAGCCTAGTGAAGCAAGTATTAGGACAAAGTCAACAACGTCTCCCCGTCAATAACAGCGCAGAGTAAGCTGGTGGGGACAGGGCGCTCTAGCTGGACATTCCCAGCATGTGTTTTTCTGTGGGACTGACTGACTATTGGCCTGGTCTGGGAAACGTTTGACTAACCACCCACTGTTCAACTGGTTTCCAATAAGCTGGGTCCTACTTTGCACTGCCCAGTGCCCATTTCAGATTTGTGCTGAGGTTATGTTTTGCCAATAGACTGAATCATTGACAATTATATTTTTTTATTGCCCTCATCCGTTAAACTGTCTCTTTTTCTTATTTTGATGACAGATTGGTCTTGCCCCCACTTCTCAGGAGAGAGAAGAACAGTTGACTGTTTTCAACAAGCAATTACAAATATACAAGGAGATGGACTTGCCAGTGTGAGTTCATCGTGGATAGTGCCTTGGTCCTTATTGCTATGTGTGCTAGACACACCATTACATGAATGTTATCAGACTGTGGGCAAGAGCAATGAGCCGTGTCCTTGGCAGGGATAAGAACAGGCTTTGCATGGAATGTCTCACTGTAACTGGATATTAGGGAGTGTTATTATTTGTCACTACTATATTTCTCCTGACCGTTTCTTGTTGTGTAACCAAAGTTGAGTGCATTTCCTCTGTGATGCAGGAACATCCATTCCCAATCAGCTGCAAAGGTTACCATAGCTACTCTGAAAGAACAGGGTTGGTGTATTATAATCAGGATTGCATAAGAGGACAGCCTCATTGCTGAAGTGATGAATGTGTTTTTAGAAGGCGTTAATATGTGCTATTTTGGCTATCCTATCAGGTATCACTGATGCTTTGCTGCACAACTTTGCAGGGAAACCATAAAATCAAATCAAACTTTATATGTCACATGCGCCGAATACAACAGGTGTAGACCTTACCGTGAAATGCTTACTTACAAGCCCTTAACCAACAATGCAGTTCAAGAAAGAGTTAAGAAACTAAAGTAAAAAAATCAAATAATGTAACACAATAAAATAACAATAACGAGGCTATATACAGGGGTTACCGGTACCGAGTCAATGTGCGGGGGTACAGGTTAGTCGAGGTAATTTGTACATGTAGGTAGGGGTAAAGTGACTATACATAGATAATAGACAGAGGGTAGCAGCAGTGTAAAAATGTTCTCAATGTAAATAGTCCGGGTGGCCATTTGATTAATTGTTCAGCAGCCTTTTGGTCCTAGACTTGGTGCTTGCCGTGCGGTAGCAGAGAGAATAGTCTATGACTTGGGAGACTGGAGTCTTTGACAATGTTTTGGGCTTTCCTCTGCCACCGCCTAGTATATACAGTGAGGGAAAAAAGTATTTGATCCCCTGCTGATTTTGTACGTTTGCCCACTGACAAATAAATGATCAGTCTATAATTTTAATGGTAGGTTTATTTGAACAGTGAGAGACAGAATAACAACAAAAAAATCCAGAAAAACGCATGTCAAAAATGTTATATAAATTGATTTGCATTTTAATGAGGGAAATAAGTATTTGACCCCCTCTCAATCAGAAAGATGTCTGGCTCCCAGGTGTCTTTTATACAGGTAATGAGCTGAGATTAGGAGCACACTCTTAAAGGGAGTGCTCCTAATCTCAGTTTGTTACCTGTATAAAAGACACCTGTCCACAGAAGCAATCAATCAATCAGATTCCAAACTCTCCACCATGGCCAAGACCAAAGAGCTCTCCAAGGATATCAGGGACAAGATTGTAGACCTACACAAGGCTGGAATGGGCTACAAGACCATCGCCAAGCAGCTTGGTGAGAAGGTGACAACAGTTGGTGCGATTATTCGCAAATGGAAGAAACACAAAAGACCTGTCAATCTCCCTCGGCCTGGGGCTCCATGCAAGATCTCAACTCGTGGAGTTGCAATGAACATGAAAACGGTGAGGAATCAGCCCAGAACTACACGGGAGGATCTTGTCAATGATCTCAAGGCAGCTGGGACCATAGTCATCAAGAAAACAATTGGTAACACACTACGCCGTGAAGGACTGAAATCCTGCAGCACCTGCAAGGTCCCCCTGCTCAAGAAAGCACATATACAGGCCCATCTGAAGTTTGCCAATGAACATCAGAATGATTCAGAGGAGAACTGGGTGAAAGTGTTGTGGTCAGATGAGACCAAAATGGAGCTCTTTGGCATCAACTCAACTCGTGTTTGGAGGAGGAGGAATGCTGCCTATGACCCCAAGAACACCATCCCCACCGTCAAACATGGAGGTGGAAACAGTATGCTTTGGGGGTGTTTTTCTGCTAAGGGGACAGGACAACTTCACCGCATCAAAGGGACGATGGACGGCCCCATGTACCAACACATTTTGGGTGATAACCACCTTCCCTCAGCCAGGGCATTGAAAATGGGTCGTGGATGGGTATTCCAGCATGACAATGACCCAAAACACACGGCCAAGGCAACAAAGGAGTGGCTCAAGAAGAAGCACATTAAGGTCCTGGAGTGGTCTAGCCAGTCTCCAGACCTTAATCCCATAGAAAATCTGTGGAGGGAGCTGAAGGTTCGAGTTGCCAAACATCAGGCTCGAAACCTTAATGACTTGGAGAAGATCGGCAAAGAGGAGTGGGACAAAATCCCTCCTGAGATGTGTGCAAACCTGGTGGCCACCTACAGGAAACGACTGACCTCTGTGATTGCCAACAAGGGTTTTGCCACCAAGTACTAAGTCATGTTTTGCAGATGGGTCAAATACTTCTTTCCCTCATTAAAATGCAAATTAATGTATAACATTTTTGACATGCGTTTTTCTGGAATTTGTTGTTGTTATTCTGTCTCTCACTGTTCAAATAAACATACCATTAAAATTATAGACTGATCATGTCTTTGTCAGTGGGCAAACATACAAAATCAGCAGGGGATCAAATACTTTTTTCCCTCACTGTAGGTCCTGGATGGCAGGAAGCTTGGCCCCAGTGATGTACTGGGTCGTACGCACTACCCTCTGTAGCGCCTTACGGTCAGATGCCGAGCAGTTGTCATACCAGGCGGTGATGCAACCGGTCAGGATGCCCTCGATGGTGCAGCTGTAGAGCTTTTTGAGGATCTGGGGACCCACGCCAAATCTTTTCAGTCTCCTGAGGGGGAAAGGTGTTGTCGTGCCCTTTTCACGACTGTCTTGGTGTGTTTGGACCATGATAGTTCGTTGGTGATGTGGACACCAAGGAACTTGAAACTCTCGACCCGCTCCACTACAGCCCCGTCGATGTTAATGGGGGCCTGTTCTGACCGCCTTTTCCTGTAGTCCACGATCAGCTCCTTTGTCTTGCTCACTTTTAGGGAGAGGTTGTTGTCCTGGCACCACACTGCCAGGTCTCTGACCTCCTCCCTATAGGCTGTCTCATCATTGTCAGTGATCAGGCCTACCACTGTTGTGTCATCAGCAAACTTAATGATGGTGTTGGAGTCGTGTTTGGCCACGCAGTCGTAGGTGAACAGGGAGTACAGGAGGGGACTAAGCACACACCCCTGAGGGGCCCCAGTGTTGAGGATCAGCGTGGCAGACGTGTTGTTGCCTACCCTTACTACCTGGGGGCGGCCCGTCAGGAAGTCCAGGATCCAGTTGCAGAGGGAGGTGTTTAGTCCCAGGGTCGTTAGCTTAGTGATGAGATTTCTGGGCACTATGGTATTGAATACTGAGCTGTAGTCAATGAACAGCATTCTCACATAGGTGTTCCTTTTGTCCAGGTGGGAAAGGGCAGTGTTGAGTGCGATTGAGATTGCATCATCTGTGGATCTGTTGGGGCGGTATGCGAATTGGAGTGGGTCAAGGGTATCCAGGATGATGCTGTTGATGTGAGCCATGACCAGCCTTTCAAAGTAATTCATGGCTACCGATGTGAGTGCTACGGGGCGGTAATAATTTAGGCAGGTTACCTTCGCTTTCTTGGGCACAGGGACTATGGTGGTCTGCTTGAAACATGTAGGTATTACAGTCAGGGAGAGGTTGAAAATGTCAGTGAAGACAGTTGCCAGTTGGTCTGCGCATGCTTTGAGTACACGTCCTGTTAATCCGTCTGGCCCCGCGGCTTTGTGAATGTTAACCTGTTTAAAGGTCTTGCTCACATCAGGTACAGAGAGCGTTATCACACAGGCGTCCGGAACAGCTGGTGCTCTCATGCATGCTTCAGTGTTGCTTGCCTTGAAGTGAGCATAAAAGGCATTTAGCTCCTCTGGTAGGCTTGCGTCACTGGGCAGCTCTCGGCTGGGTTTCCCTTTGTAGTCCGTAATAGTTTTCAAGCCCGGCCACATCCGACGAGTGTCAGAGCCAGTGTAGTAGGATTCAATCTTCATCCTGTATTGACGCTTTGCCTGTTTGATGGTTCGTCTGAGGGCGTAGCGGGATTTTTTATAAGCGTCCGGATTAGTGTCCCGCTCCCTGAAAGTGGCAGTTCCAGCCTTTAGCTCGATGCGGATGTTGCCTGTAATCCATGGCTTCTGGTTGGGATATGTACGTACGGTCACTGTGGGGATGACGTCGTTGATGCACTTATTGATGAAGCCGATGATTGAGGTGGTATACTCTTGAATGCCATCGGATGAATCCCGGAACATATTCCAGTCTGTGCTAGCAAAACAGTCCTGTAGCGTAGCATCCGCGTCATCTGACCACTTCCGTATTGAGAGTGTCACTGGTACTTCCTGCTTTAGTTTCTGCTCGTAAGCAGGAATCAAGATGATAGAATTATGGTCAAATTTGCCAAATGGAGGGCGACGGAGAGCTTTGTATGCGTCTCTGTGTGTGGAGTAAAGGTGGTCTAGAGTTTTTTTTCCCTCTGGTTGCACATGTGACATGCAGGTTGAAATGAGGTAAAACGGATTTAAGTTTTCCTGCATTAAAGTCACCGGCCACAAGGAGTGCCGCTTCTGAATGAGCATTTTCATGTTTGGCCATGGAAGGAGTGGAAAGAGTGGAAGGAGTGCAGGCAGGATACTTATTCTCCTTCTCTCCAGCTGTCTCTGCAGGAATTAACAGGTGAGCGATAGAGTTGTTCATTAACCTGCAGTCATCCAGTAATCTCTCAGTACCATATGTCCTCATTGTTATAGAAATCCCTTACCTTTTCTAACACCTTGATCTTTGAATATGCATACTAAGCTTTTGTTTCAAGTTTTAAAGATTGGTTAAAGCTACTTTCACTGGGCCAAAAATGCTGTGTGCATTTTCTGCTAAACATAAAACTCTGAAACGGCCATATGGTGTGATAAAACCAGACATGATTTTAGAGAGTTCCTGTTGAGTCCCCTCATAATGACTGTGTTGTTACTGTGTTATAACAAAGAGACAAACTGATCAAACATATTCCATTGGAACTCATCTGTCTGAAGACAGACTCTCTTGCCTTGGGACCAGAAAAACATGTGGGTTATCATCATTTGGAATGCAACATTATGTAGCAACCTGGTTGTTTTGAATCATTAAACTTATGTCTCCCCTCTCCAAAGGAATGAACCTAAGAACATACTGCTTGTCTGTGAGTACATTGCTCAAGTCAAAGGAATCACACCTCAAATGGTTATTCATGCCACCACAGAGAATGCCCTCCGGTTGTTCCTAGAAATTAGGAGCCTTAAGTCACACACATCACACTAAATGTATAGGTCTAATTCGTGTCTTTTTGTAAATTAATTCATATTGTGTTATCTCATGCTGTATCTCCGAAAATGAAATGGAATTGTGAAATAAAATTCTCAAGAGACAGGTGTTTGTGCATGGTGATGGACACTTCTATTGTATAAAGTCACACATAAAATCAGCAACCATTGGCTATGACGATGGCAATGCTTACGGTTTTCTTCTAAGCGTTTTCGCTCCTGGTATTTGGTGACATGTCCTGCTGTCCAAAACGGACCGTTGCTCCGGAGTCTCTGCCTGGAGCGACTTGGAAGTCGCAAGTGTTTTGCAAATGACAGTCAAAATGTATATTCTCTGCTCTTTCCCATAACTTGCTGTCAATCTCTACTTGACACCACTTTTCTCACCGCAAATTTAATTCGAACAGGGCATCGACTTTGGATTTTGACATGTTTGATAAGCTTTCTAACACCACTAGAGCAGTGGCGATTTTAACATGTAAATCTTGGTGGGGCAAACTTTGTTTTAGATGCATCCCAGCAAAGCCACTACACAACATAACACTAAACAATACATTAATTGCACTATAACGGTGACAAACGGTGCCCACAAACTGTTAAGGCCTACATAAAGCTGTCCAGACAGCGGAGCTTTCCTTTCAGCACCATGGAGTGAATCCTTACCATGGCTACACCTGGCTATCAGCGGAGCCTCGTCTGGCAGCGAAACAGTTCAGACTCATTTACTGCCTTTTTTTAAAACCACTGACTCCTTGTGGATTTGTGTAAGTCGATAAGAACCGAATTCTCCTTCAATGATAATGAACGCCAACATGAGTTTTGAGTTTTGAACCATACACTAACATTATTACATTTATGTTGAGTAAATTCATAATCTTTGTTTTTATATCATTAACACTTAGCTCTAAGTGTAAGCAAGTGCATGCAAACGTGCTGCGACGAGGTAGGCCTATTCGTTCAGCACTTTCAAAATGGACCAACAGAAATTCTGAAAGATGTTAGTACAGAAAATTCAGCAAGATGTTGAGGCCTTAACTTTACTCTTCTTTAAGTCACCACAGAGAGAGAAATAGAGAGTCGCAGTTAGCCTACCATTTGAAGTATTTGATTAGGCCTATGTGGTCTAAAAGGGAAGGAAAATATGATCCACTTTTATAGACAATTTACCGACGCACAGACAGCGCATTGCGCAAACAAAACAATCCTCGCAATATCAACTGGAATTACATGGGTTAAATTACTGAACTTTTTGTTGAAAATAAATATTTGAATGGGAAGAGACTGTCACTAGCAAACATGGATACAGACCCAACAACATTATATAGTATCCCCTCCTCATGAAGAAAATCACATGACCTAATTAAAACACACAAAGTAAGCAAACCAATTAAATCATTACAACATTGCCTAAAATTATGAATAAGATACAGTACTAATGAGATAGACCTATATAAGCAATAGGCCTATAACAATTGAAATGTACAAACTATGGCATAAGGGGACGATGAGTGGATAAGAGGCAAGCAGTAATTTCGATTATGACATAATCGGGCTCCTGAGTGGCGCAGCGGTCTAAGGCATAATCGGGCTCCCGAGTGGCGCAGTAGTCTAAGGCACTGCATCTCAGTGCTAGGGGCGTCACTACAGACCATGGTTTGATTCCAGGCTGTATCACAATCCGGCCTTGATTGGGAGTCCCATAGGGCGTCGTCCGGGTTTGGGTAGGCCTTCATTGTAAATAAGCATTTGTTCTTAACTGACTTGCCTTGTTAAAAAAAAATAACAATAATGAGTGAGTTATGAGGGACGTCGTCTATATAACTATTTGTTCAGCACTTTTTTAATGTACAGCGACAGAATTCAGAACATGAGCCATTCTTACAGTTTTCTCCCTGTACACCAAGTCAGAACCGAATAATAAATAACTAGGACAAATAAGCAGGCAATGAAAGCTCTTACAATATTCAATGATGACATTTCTATAAAACAGGCTATAGGCTACATGTGCACCTCTAAGTCAGAACAGTAGGCTAAATTCTGAGGGGGAGAGGGACCAACTTATTAGGGTGAGGCAAATGGGCTACTAACAGCTTACTACACAACATACACTTAGTATTACTTTCTTAGCTACAGTATACAAATATCCCTTGCATATTAAATCATTTATGGAGCAGCATTCAACAGATTTTAGGATTCACCATTGTTGTGCTCACTTGAACAGGAAGGTGGCACGGCGGTCCTTCTTGTGGGCAAATTTTGTCATCAAACTTTCTCATCAAAGTCTGTCATTCTCTGGATTTATGGTGCTTTCATGACATCTGGGAACTCTGAAAAAAACAAGGTCAAATCATGATGTCAGTGATCTTTAAGTCGCAGCTCTAGAAAGAGGCCAGAGTTCCCGACTTCGAATTCCGATTTGGATGACCATTCAAAACGTATTTTCCCAGTCGGAGCTCGTATTTTTCGGAGTTCCCAGTTGTCTTGAACTCACTGAAGTCTGAGATTTCCCAATTACGAGTTTCCAGTTGTTTTGAAAGCGGCAGAAATCATGCTGAATTGACAGCATGGCCAATGTATCCAACCTTTTCTGGCCCATGGTGTTGTGTGTGAATGTTTATAACCTTTTAAGCCTGGAAAAGAGAAAGATGTTTTAAATCCTTAAACCCAGACTTGGACCACACACCCTCTCCACCGAATAGCAGGCAGGGGGAAAAAAATAGTGATGGCTTTGCAACGCTTGCAGTTAGCCACTGATTCCTTCCAAACCACTCATTGTTGAATTTGCGTTTTCCGATTTGTCGTTTTATCTATAATTTATCTTCATATAAAAATAATTGAAAAGGATTTGCCAGTAGATTGTCAACGTGATTCATGATGATGACTGCTTGTCTAGCTTGCTAGCTAAGATTTTGAAAGTATTATGTTGACATTATCAGTTCAATCAACACTACGGTAGATATAACATGATTTGACCTCATTTTATCTGTGGCCAATGACCTTGAGCCTTCTTGGACGGGGACTTTGAATGTAAATCTATGGCAGCACCCAAGGGGGCTTGAATTGCCTAGCTCACCCTGTAGATTCTGCGGTGAGGTAGTGTCTCCATGAGTGACAGAACACTGAACCAATCACTGCGCAATTAGAGAAGATTACCAACGCATATGCTCTGTATTTTCCGCTGGCTACCCCTCCACCAAAGAAAGCACTGAGCTAGGTTGAAACACCTGCATTTTGGAGCTGCCTTACTCACGAAAGAGACCATGTTTGTATGCAGCTTTATTAACTCAATATATAGCGCATTCGGAAAGTATTCAGACCCCTTGACCTTTTCCACATTTTGTAACGTTACAGCCTTATTCTAAAATGGATTACATATGATTTATTTCTCATCAATCCACACACAATACCCCATAATGACAAAGCGAAACAGGTTTCAGCAAATTTTTGCAACTGTATAAAAGGTCCCACCGTTGACAGTGCATGTCAGAACAAAAACCAAGCCATGAGGTCGAAGGAATTGTCCGTAGCGCTCAGGACCTCAGACTGGGGCGAAGGTTCACCTTCCAACAGGACAATGACCCTAAGCATACAGCCAAGACAACGCAGGAGTGGCTTCGGGACAAGCCTCTGAATGTCCTTGAGTGGCCCAGCCAGAGCCCGGACTTGAACCTGATCAAACATCTGTGGAGAGACCTGAAAATAGCTGTGCTGCGACGTTCCCCATCCAACCTGACAGAGCTTGAGAGGATCTGCAGAGAAGAATGGGAGAAACTCCCCAAATACAGTTGTGCTAAACTTGTAGCATCATACCCAAGAAGATTCGAGGCTGTAATCTCTGCCAAAGGTGCATCAACAAAGTATTGTGTAAAGGGTCTGAATACTTATGTAAATGTAATATTTCCGTTTTTTTTTTATAAATTTGCTACAATTTCTAAAAACCTGTTTTTGCTTTGTCATTATGGGGTATTGTGTGTAGATTGATGAGAAAAAACAAAACAATTTAATCCATTTTAGAATAAGGCTGTGTAGTGTCGAGTCAATGTTGCTAATTATGCTGTTAAACAAAGGAGTCCGCTTATACTGAACTTTGATCATAAGTTTTATTCATATCACAAGATTTCAGCATAAGTTTACAGATGTCATGATCACCCGGAGAGCAGTGTTTTCCAAATTACAATGTCCGCTCTAATGTTCTTTGTTCAAACCCAGTACTTATAATATTCCCCAAAATATGGGTGGCTCCCTCTACTGTCCAATCCCCTGTCTACAACACACACTCCCGCTGTTCTATGGGGCGTCACCCTAAAACAACTCCCTCTGAAACTGAATAAACGTCCTCTCAGGTTCCACTTGAAAACATTAGCAAAGTCATAATTCTTAATACACTACAGCTGTAATGTAACAGAATGTGGAAAAAGTAAAGGGGTCTGAATACTTTCCGAATGCACTGTATATTATTTTTTGCATTGTTTGCAAACTAACATGTGACACGAATGAATGCCAAAATAACATGCAAAAAAAATTTTTTTTAGCTAAACAGGTTGGGCTCAAAACAGCCCCATCTGCCCTGAATGATGGGTCGCCATTGCACTATAGCAAATAGCAGCGAAATGATGAGGTGTTGTAATGAGCGCTTCTTTGTGCCTTCTAGCCCCGCTGCGGCTCCCATGGATCTAGAAACCTCAGAATTTCGCGCAACAATACTAACTGTGACAACGTGGAAGTCAGATCCAATTAAATAATTCCTAATTATATGGTGGAAGTGAGTTACGTGTGCCAGTGGCTCTTGAAAAGTAGCCTATTTAAAAGTGGTAAATCTGAGGATGAGTTGAACACCCACGTTTTCAAATGCATCAGAAGGCCCTGGCCTAATAAAAGTGTAACTTCCCATCTATAAATCTATTGTAGTTATTAAGGCCTACAATTACCTGAGCAAATATATTTTTTTAGGCCTATGCCATTGAGGTGGATGATTTTATTGCACATTGTTTCAAACGTTTGCTTTCTAGTGCGAGTGTCCAATAGGATAGGCAGGCCGACTGGGCTCAACTAAGATTAGGATTAGGGAGAGATAATTGAGGAGACCATGTGTCACTAACGAACGACACACATTTGAACAACCTCAATGCTATTTAGGAAATTATGCAGTTTATTTGAATAACAGAAAATTATTATAACAATATTTTTTCTTCATCTACCATGCATAGAGGCCGGTGCGCACTTGTTTCATTCACATACTGGTTGGGGATTATACCTATAGATAGAGGTAGGGCTACTATAACACCGTCCCTCTGGAGAGCCCTCCAAATCCTGCATTTTGATTGGTCGGAGTCATCATCGGAAGGCCTCCATGTGTGAGTTGTCTGATGTAAATGCGCCCTGCCCCTCTCCCCATGCACTAAAGCGGCACCGGAATAGGCTACCATACGAAAAAAGGCGCTTTATGAGAGCGAATAATACAGATAGCCAACAACATTTTAAAAGGGCTTTTTATAAACGGTATGAATAGTTGTTGTATTATCTACTTAGTGAATGTTGGCTCTGCCCTATTTTGCGTAAACGTACTTCCTGACTACAGGGTATAGAGATAGGCAACGTCGGCCCAGCATCATGGTGGCTGGCGAGTTGGTACAGCAACATCTGCAGCGTGACAACGCACCTGAAATAGACATCAAGACGCCGGTGCATAGCGGAGCAGTCCCAACCGGGGATCAGTACTCCGATCTAACGAATGGAGCGGCACATCTGACAGAACTGGACTCGAAGGCGTTGGAACAGGAGATACATCCAGATGAGAAACAGGCTATGCTTCCTGGAGAGGAAAAATGTCTCGAAACTAAGCTCTATTGGAGAAGATTCGCCGTTTTAGCTGTGTTCAGCCTCTACTCCCTCGTCAACGCATTTCAATGGATCCAGTACAGCATCATCGCCAACATTTTCGCCCACTTCTACAATGTATCCAGCGACAAGATCGATTGGCTGTCAATTGTATACATGGTGGCGTATGTGCCGTTGATCTTCCCCGCAACATGGTTACTGGATAAAAAAGGACTGAAATTGACAGCCCTTATGGGCGCGGGTTTGAACTGCGTCGGTGCGTGGGTGAAGTGCGCCAGCGTCCGGCCCGATCTTTTCGGTGTAACAGTGACTGCACAGATAATATGTTCCATAGCCCAAGTCTTCATCCTCGGGCTACCCTCTATGATTGCATCAGTGTGGTTTGGCCCGAAGGAGGTGTCTACCGCATGTGCCACAGCCGTGCTGGGTAACCAGGTGTGTAGGCCTATTGAGTCATGCTATGGGGGGCTCCTAATGAATCCTTTAGCCTAATCATATTGTAAACGTTACAGGCTAATGCTGTGTACATGTTTTGCTGCTGAATAAAAATATGACATTTCTGTATTTTGATGGAGTATGTGTGACATTGATGTATTTGTCTGATCCCTCTTTAGCTGGGCACTGCTATTGGCTTCCTGCTTCCCCCTGTCCTGGTCCCCAACACTGTGGAAGACAGAGAGCTGATGGGACACAACATCAGCATTATGTTTTATGGGACGGCTGTAGTCTCCACTGTTCTGTTCATCTTGACTGTAATTGGTAAGTAAGTTGACACAAGCCTTGTCATACCATCTGAAATGGTACTCTGCAGAAATACACCTGATGGATAGCACATCATAGTCACTGTAGCAACTAACTCCATAGGTCCAGACGACTGCACTTCTATTTTCCACCATACAAACATACCAACCATTCAAACATACCACTGTAAACCAGGATTACATAGGAGTCATTGCAGTCATATGCTACTGAGTGCTTTTGAAGCAAGAAACAGAGAGAAACACTGATGTTGTAAAGCTGTAAATACAGTGTGTTAGTGTTGACTGTCACTTCTCTCCTAGTCATGAAAGACAGACCCCCACTACCTCCCAGCCAAGCTCAGGCTGTCCTACCTGACTGTGCTCCTGAAGACTACTCCTACAGACGGTCCATCATCAACCTGTTCAAGAACAAACCTTTCATCCTACTGCTCATCAGTTATGGTGAGACACCGGACTCATAATATTCCCTTATCTTTCTCCTTATCTTGTAACTACACTATAACTATGTTATTACTACTGTATTACATGCAGTAACCTAAAGCTACTTTAAAGTTATGGTGAGACACCTGACTACTTGCCAGTAGCCTGGACTCAGGTCTGTGCTTTAGCTAACTCATCTGTTGTGTTTGTTGTCATGCCAAAGGTTTATGACATGACAATAGAAGTTAGAGGAGTTGCCCAAAGCATATACAGATCTGGGGCCAGATGCTGTCCTTCAAAGTCTCTTGTTATAGCATTCTGTCCATTCCACTGATTGTTTCCTGGGGATAGTTGTTCATTATGAGATCCATCTGTCTTTAACCCCATACACTCCAAGGTAGTCTGACTGCCCAGTCAGTGCTCAGTCCGGTTATGGGCTCCCGAGTGGCGCAGCGGTCTAAACACTGCATCTCAGTGCTTGAGGCGTCACTACAGACCCCCTGGTTCGATTCCAGGCTGTATCACAACCGGCTGTGATTGGGAGTCCCGTAAGGCGGCGCACAATTGGCCCAGCGTCGTCCGGGTTTGGCCGGTGTAGGCCGTCATTGTAAATAAGAATTTGTTCTTAACTGACTTGCCTAGTTAAATAAAAATGTACACTCAGTTTAGCTAATCCTTTCTTGAATTTGAGTTTGTTTTGTTGGTGTTCAGTTCTTTTCATTGTTTTGTGTGTACTATACATATTCTTGAAGTTTATCACTATGTCGGGATAAAACATTCAAATAAATACATTTTGTTTCCCATTTTCCTTTAGGTATCATGACTGGTTCTTTCTACTCTGTATCAACACTTCTCAATCAGATGATTATGGCTTGTTATGAGGTAAGTGGAGTACAAAATGTGTGTTCCAAATACTGAAAATTAAGATTATTTGATAGGTTGATTTACTACATGCATAGCTAGATCAAACACAAGCTCTTGAACGGGACAAAAGTAAAACACTTTAAGGAAAATGTTTTCTCTGTAAACAGATGGAGTTAAATGGGAGCTCAAACCATGACAGGGCACGAATCCATTGTCTCCAGTTTGTAGTTCATTAACCACTTTTCACGCATGCCTGCTACCCTTGGAGGAGAGCGACTGAAAGACAAGCAATGTTCTGTGAACTCTAGTAGCAGCCTTCTTTCACTGTAAAATGTCAAATTACGTAAACATCACTTTCCCATCAGACTTTCCATAAATCCCTGAACTGTACCCCCTAAACCGATAGACCAGGTGACCAGCTTTAAGGTTATACATGCATCCAGATTGGCTGTCGAAACTTTGGTATTAAATTATTGCATCTGAGCTCCTAGAGTATGTCGCTCTCCTTTTCTTTTTAAAGTATACATGCATCCAGGCCATATTTTGTCTGGAGTCCTTTTGAGCTTGAAGTTTTAGCTAAGTGCACTTATGGCCTAAACTCACCAAAGGCGAGCGTGCGAGACGTGTATGTTTTTGAATTACAATGACCCAACTGAAGCCGGGCGGGTGCGTTGTCCGATTTGACGCCTTGCTCAATTAGAAAGTGTCTCTATTTTTCTGTTTTACCGCAGGAGCTGTAGTCACAAAAAAACAGTACAAATGTTGTCATTATTAACTTTTTTATCGAGCTCATTTGAATTGGAAGAGGTAGCTAAGGGTTGAGGCTTTACCATACATGCTAAATTAGACCACTTCATCCACTTATGGAAACCAAACATCGCTATCAGCAAAGATGATTGGAGTTATGGACTATCCTGCTAGCATACAGTCACTGTTCTGACTGACCCGTCCTTTCCATCCGCCTTTCTCTGCTTGTTCCACACACCCGCTTCTGGTGAGTTTTTCGCTTTAGCCATGTTAGTCCAAGAGCCACCCATCAAACATGTAGATAATGTTATGAACAGGAACATTGTCTGATTCAAAACGTGGAAAAACTGTAATCTTTAATCAAAGTTACTATATTTAGCATCGAAATCACAGCGCATCTTGGGTAATTTCCCTAGCAACGTTCCGACGTTGCCATGTTTCACCTGGGTTACTTTTGTTGCACACAGGCACACAGAACATATAACTATTTGTGCATTCAGTGTTCGCCCTTGCATAAGCTCAAGCAACACGTTACCCTCCTTCACTGATCTAGATGAACCCCAAAATTAGGAAATATGTTTTAACCATGTGCATTGGTTTTCTCAGTTAATACAAGTAGTTTTGGCACATGTATTTAGCCTACAAGGCCATTATTGCTTTGTTTTGCCTGCTAGCCAAACTAAGGTACATAAAGCGCTGTTCATTTAGCATGTTTCAACAACTTCTAATATTTTATTATTTTGGTATTCCTCTGGTCCGATACATATTTTTTTTCTGCAAGCATGGACAACGTCGTGTGTAACAATTGTAACCAAGATGTAACATGGCAACCTCATAATGTTGCTAGGGGAAATTACCCAAAATGTGCTATGATTTCGAAATTGTACCTTTGATTCATAATATTCAATTAATGTGCAACTTTTACAAGTTTTGAACCACACAGTGTTCATATTCATAAAATGATCTATGTAATGATGTTGAAACTTTGCAGCTTTGTTTCCTGGGTCACGGAATGGCTTTTCTGAAGCCTTTTTTGTTCTGTAGCCCTTGGACTATGTGCCTTCATGTGAATATGATAGTGTGACACATGTCCCTGGAAAAGCCTGCTTTACTCTACACTAACATTAACCTCTTCACCCCAGAACCAGGAGCTGAATGCAGGCAGGATTGGTCTCACCCTTGTGGTGGCTGGAATGGTGGGCTCCATCATCTGTGGACTGTGGCTGGATCACACCAAAACCTACAAGTAGGTACCGTCCCCAATCACCACTGCCAGTGACATAAATCACTACATTCTTTGGTGATACAGTCATTAAACTATGTTGTCCATGATGCAATTGTGACTTGCAGAAGGCAGTTATGACTATCTAAAGCGTTACGGTTATTTCTGGAAACTTTGTGCACTGCGGTGGCTGTTTTATGGACATACAGTACTCTGTGGTTACTAGAAAGGGAAGTGCTATCACGTTTCAGGAGAAGACCCAGATGCAGACAGTGTCGAAGTAACACAAGTTTATTACAAAAACGGGGCAGGCAGAGGTCAGTAATCCAGATCAGTGTCCAAAAGGTACAGAACGGCAGGCAGTCTCAGGGTCAGGGCAGGAAGAGGAAACAGGAGACAAAGGGCTGTGAGACATGGGTTTGATCCTAAACACATGAAAAGTGGGATTATACGGAGGGTACGGGGCAACAGAAGACGAACAGCAGAGGGGCTAATGATTTTAGAGATGGGGAAAGGGCTGATAAACTGGGGGGAAAGTTTGCGGGACTCCACCCAGGGGGGCATATCTCGGGTCAACAGCCATACCTTCTGCCCGAGACAATACCGTGGAGCCGGGGTCCGGTGGTGGTCCGCTTGTCGTTGATTCCTGGAGGTCCAGGTTGGAGAACACGTTAGCCCCCTGAAGCAGATCGAAGGCTGAGGAGATGAGTGGTAGCGGTTCTTCACCGTGATGTCGTTGAGGCCCCAGTAGTCGATGCACGGGCGCAGGGTTTTGTCCTTCTTCTCCACAAAGAAGAACCCTGCGCCGGTGGGGGAGGCAGAAGGACAGATGAACCCGGCAGCTACGGAGTCCTCAATGTAGGTCTCCAAAGCCTTGGTCTGCGGACATGACAGCAAGTACAGTCGTCCCCGGGGTGGAGTGGTGCCTGGAAGAAGGTTGATTCCTCAGTCGTAGGGTCGGTACGGCGGAAGCGAAGTGGCCCGGGCCTTACTGAACACCTCCCGGAGGTCCTGGTACTCTGCGTGTATGGCGGAGAGGTCCGAGGCAACTTCCGAGCCCCCAGGAAGACGTCCCAGGGCAGGCTACGCTGACTTCAGGCAATGAGCGTGGCAGAACGGGCTCCAGCCCATGATAGCACCAGTAGACCAGTCAATAAAGGGGTTGTGTCGCTAGAGCCAAGAGAAACCCAATACCACGGGAACCTGAGGAGACTTAATTAGCAGGAATTGGATCGTCTCGCTGTGGTTCCCTGATACTTGTGGTTGATGGGGGTGGTATTGTGGGTGACCCGGCCTATAGAGCGCCCTTCCAGCACACAAACGTCCATGGGAATGGAGAGGGGCTGAGTGGGGATACACAGCTCGGACGCCAGGGTATCGACCATAAAGCAGTCATGGCAAGTTCGTACTATCACGTTTCAGGAGAAGACCCAGATGCAGACAGTGTCAAAGTAACAAAGGTTTATTACAAAAACAGGGGGCAGGCAAACGACAAGTCAAGTGCAGGCAGAGGTCAGTAATCCAGATCAGATTCCAAAAGGTACAGAACGGCTGGCAGTCTAGGGTCAGGGCAGGCAGAGGTCAATAATCCAGGTTGGTGTGACAAGGTACAGAACAGCAGGCAGGCTCAGGGTCAGGACAGGTAGAATGGTCAAAATCGGGAAAACTAGAAAACAGGAACTTGAGAAAGACAGGAGCAAGGGGAAAACCGCTGGTAGGCTTGACGAAACAAAACGAACTGGCAACAGACAAACAGAGAACACAGGTATAAATACACTGGGGATAATGGGAAAGATGGGCGACACCTGGAGGGGGGTGGAGACAATCACAAAGACAGGTGAAACAGATCAGGGTGTGTCAAGTGCTGTAAAGACAAACTCAGAAGTTTATGAGTTTTAACTCATCCTTTAGATAAGCAGCCTCCTGTACATTCCAAGAATTAGGTCCTGCCAGTTCAGATCCAATTAACGCAGGTTTGTAGTAACATGCTCTTAATGTAAGTCAGTTTGACTAATCAAAATTAAGGAGATTTCTCACATGGCTAAGCATTCTCATTTGCTCTGAAAGTCACCCTCTGCTTAACTTATTATCCTCTGGAGAAGCTATAAAGTAATTAAAAATAAAGTCAACTTATATAGGCTATGTACATTAAGTCCCTGAAACATAGAGAATGATGAAGGTGGGAGTGACATTGTACATTTTTCCTGCCCATGATACCTGCCTATTTCCTCTTTAATTGTGAGCCTCTCTGTATAGAACATCCAGTTTTATTTCCACCAATGTTCTGTCCTGTGCTTGTTCCTCAGAATGACCACTCTGACAGTGTACATCCTGTCCTTCATTGGTATGGTGCTGTTCAGCTTCACTCTGAACCTCAACAGTATCTACCTGGTGTTCTTCACTGCTGGGGTGCTGGGGTAAGGCTGGAGATAACCCTTCTTTGTATTTTTTGTATTTCTTCACCTTTATTTATACAGGTAAGTCAATTAAGAACAAATTCTTATTTACAATGACGACCTGATTTGCTATAAAATTATAAATAAGTTATTGAAATGATCATTAAGAAGTAATATAGTTATAATTGCCAATGTTGCACATTGTGTCTACATGAACAGGTAGTGAACAGTATGGTGTTAAAAGACAGGCACCTTCTTTTCTTGTTGTTGCTTATTTTGACATCAGTTCTTCATGCTCTTGTATGTTTTGAAGGTATACAGTCACACACACAATGCCACTTTATAATTTATGTAGTGGTCAGAGTCTATGTTCAACCAAAACAAGGGCATCAAGATAAAGCAGTCTGTTTTCTCTGAGGGCAGCCATGGTTCACTGATATGATTTTGTTATTCTGTAGGTTCTTCATGACTGGTTACCTGCCGCTTGGCTTTGAATTTGGGGTTGAAATAACATATCCTGAATCGGAAGGGACATCCTCTGGTCTCCTTAATGCTTTTGCACAGGTAAGCCCCAGACACATGCTAACAATCACAAGTATTTTTCATTGTTTGTGAAACCATGTGTGACTGCCTCCAGAGATATTTTCAGGCAAATACTTTTGTGTATTCTCATACAACATAAAATGTGTCCTCCCCTTACCAGGATATTGTGTAACCTTAGCCTAACCACACACATTTTCAAAAAAGTATATATCCGCACAGTATATACTTTCTAATCTAATTCTTCATAGTATGTACAAACAGGTTAAGCTTCTTTGCCAAGTGGGAAGGCGATCTGTTTTTTCAGTCAGTATAATGCTTGTATACCCTTGAAACAATACAGGTGCATAATGTTTTTCTCACTCCCATATCTCCTTCTTCCCTGAGATCTTTGGGATTATTTTCACTTTGATCCAGGGGAGACTGACAACAGAATACAACCCCCTGGCTGGGAACCTGTTCCTCTGTGTCTGGATCTTCCTGGGCATCTTTCTCACAGGTCGGTTGGCTCTCTGCTCTGATCTGTTCTGCGTTGATCTGTTCTGCTCTGTTCTGTGGAGTGTGGTTGTCTTCCATATGATTCACCTTCTGCTATAAAAACTGATACAGACTGAGAATACAATATAATACAATAAAATTAGGGCTGTCAAAGTTAACGTGTTAATAACGCATTAATGCTTACATTTTGAATGTCGTAGATTCTTTTCACGCCATTAACGCATTTTCTTAGTTTGACCCTCTGAACCATCCATAGTTCAAATTCAAGCCCTGGCAGCCAATGCGCTTGTTTGACAATCACTTTACAAGCTAGATACTTGTATGACTGAATGATGGAGAATGCTAGGAAGGGGCTTTTAAATGGCAAATTCGATTTAAAATCACTCCCAGAAGGCTCTCTGGATAAAACTAAAGTAATTTGCATCTACTGCAAGGCTGAATTTGTTTATCACCGTAGTACATAAAGTCTTCATTATCATTTACAAGCGAAACATACTGTTGACACCGGCAATACAAGTAACGTTACTAGTAGCAATGGAGGACATCTTTGACAGGCTAAGCTAGAAGAGTGTGCGCGCGGGAGGCTGGGAGGCCTGCGCACCACATCGATGAACTGGAAACTGCATTAACACGCTCTGGCCGTGATGAAGGCAGAAGAGAGGCACTATGCTGAAACGTACGCCGGGCATTTCATGGATCTAGCAAAGCAGTGGAACATTGAAAACAAAGTTACCACAGTTTGCACAGACAGTGCATGGAACATGATTGCAGCTGCAAGACATCTGCCTTTTGAACACCTGCCCTGCACCGTGCACAGTCTCCAAAGGTCCACCACAGTGTCCCTACAGAACAGCGGGTTCGACAATGCCCTAGCCAAATGCCATTTTTTGGGGGGCCATTTCAAACATAGCCCACCAAACGCTGCAGAGCTAGGACAACAGCAAGTTGCAAATGGGCTAAAGAAGGAGTCACTCCCACAAGATGTCACAACAAGATAGAATTCCACTCTGGAAATGGTAAGCGTGTCCACAGAAACAAACAACCACTGAGAGATGCTCTGGCCCAACAGAAAACTAACATCACCATGCCAACCACAGCTGAACTGGAGAAACTGCAGAAGCTGAAGGCACTACTGGAGCCCTGCAGGTAATATTCTCTATCTCACTATTAATGTTATAATAAGAGTGTGTGTGTGTGTGTGTGTGTGTGTGTGTGTGTGTGTGTGTGTGTGTGTGTGTGTGTGTGTGTGTGTGTGTGTGTGTGTGTGTGTGTGTGTGTGTGTGTGTGTGTGTGTGAGAGAGAGAGAGAGAGTGTCTGTGTATAACACGTCTCTCACAATTGACTGAAGTGATTTTAAATTATCTTTCACTGCAGGTACTTGACTGAACTTCTGGGAGGAGAGAAGTACATTTCCGGCTCAGTGGTGTTGCCTGATTTGTGTCATCTCCTTTGGGTGATGGAGAGCTCCGATGATGACCCTGCCTACATGATAAGAAAAACACCAACCTCACATGGCTGAAGATTGCCACATCACTCAACCCAAGGTTTATGGACCTGAAGTACCTTCCCAGACCTGAGAGGGGTAAGGTGTGGTCTTTGGTCAGCAACTTGCTGAAGGAAGAGAGGCCTGCACAGCAACTTGATAAAGCAACAGAGTCAGAGCCACCAAAGAAGAAAGCTTCTCTTTTGTTAAGTTCTTCTGAGTCTGACTCTGATGAAGAGGAGGAGTCCATTGAGAAATGTGTGGAGCGTTACAAAGCAGAGCCCAGCATCAACATGGAGGACTGTCCACTACAGTGGTGGTCACAGCATGCAGGGGCACATACCAGGCTGGCCTGCATTGCACAAAGGTACCTGGCAACGCCTGCCACATCAGGACCTTGTGAGAGGTTGCTTTCACTCTCTGGGCATATCGTACAAAAGAAGAGAGCAACTTTATCATCTGAAAATGTTAACAGGCTTGTTTGCATTTGCAACTGGCTCAGTGAAAATAAATAGGAGGAAGACTGAAGTGTATGGTCACAGATTTATGTTCTGTGGAATTCATGACATTGTTGGAGAGGTTTATACTCTTTGTTCTTTGTATCCATAGAGCCAGTACTTTTTTTCTTATAGCCAACCCTCCAATCAGTAATTGGGAGAACAATCATTTGGAATGGCTGAAGCTTTAACTGTGTGTGTGTGTGTGTGTGTGTGTGTGTGTGTGTGTGTGTGTGTGTGTGTGTGTGTGTGTGTGTGTGTGTGTGTGTGTGTGTGTGTGTGTGTGTGTGTGTGTGTGTGTGTGTGTGTGCCTATAACTCAATACACTGCTTTAAAAAAAAAAATTACTTAGCACCAAATTTGAGCAAATAAAACATTTGCGATTAATCGCGATTAACTACAGAATTTAATGTGATTAATCGCTATTAATTATTTGAATCGTTTGACAGACCTAAATAAAATACATAACAATACTATGAAGGCTACACCACAAATGTATGTTTATATATTGTTTGAGGCTCTCTTAATTACTTCCCCTTGTTTGTTTCAGCCTTAATAAAATCAGAACTGAAAAGAAACAACGTCAACATGGGCATTGACAGCAAAACTCTTCAAGCAGTAAGTCACGTTCTCTCCATTTCCCTCAAGAGAGATTTTCTCTCTTCTTTTTCTTTTTGCTGAAAGGTCACCCTCCTCTCAATCACTTGTGACCTTTTCCTTGAATGATGTATCACACGCAGAGGTCAGGTCACTCGTCTGCTTGTTCTTTCACCTTGACAGCCATTTTGAAGCTGTCTCATATCTCATGAGATTGCCCACATCAAAAGACAGAACAGTCTTTCTGCCGGGCTCATCTAATGTGAATCTGTATACATTTAAGTCATTTAGCAGACGCTCTTATCCAGAGCAACTTACAGTTAGTGAGTGCATACATTATTTTTCATACTGGCCCCCCGTGGGAATCGAACCCACAACCTTGGCGTTGCAAACGCCATGCTCTACCAACTGAGCTACATCCCTGCTGGCCATTCCCTCCCCTACCCTGGACCAATTGTGCGCCGCCCCATGGGTCTCCCAGTCGCGGCCGGCTACGACAGAGCCTGGATTTGAACCAGGATCTCTAGTGGCACAGCTAGCACTGCGATGCAGTGCCTTAGACCACTGCGCCACTCGGGAGACATATCATGTATCATGCAGAGAGCAGCGTGATAGGGAAAGAAAATAAAACCTTTTAATGAATGTATTTTCAATGCATTATTTGAAATAGTCTTCAGGCAGTTGAGGCGCCCTATGACGTTAGTATTTGGCACTGTGATTATGTACCCCACTGTGTTGGTTTAATGCCACTGTTACTAGCCACTTGAGTGATGAGAATAATCTTTTCATGAAAGGACAATGCAAGACTTTAATTAAAGATATCTTCCTCTCCTCTTGTCTTAGGTCCCTACTAAGTGCCTATCAGACAAGCCAACCAATGGCGTCAAGATGGAAACTTCAGTCAGCTTTTCCCATGAGACCTCACTGTAACCCAAATAGGTCGCTCATCACTCTACTGAACATTTCAGAGGCCTACAACGCATTCAACAAAGTTTCCTGAGGTTACTTGAAATCTCCCTTTTCTCTGGATTGTATCTTGTAATGTGTTATTATGATAATGTTTTTACTGTAGTGGTTTTAGCTGAGCGATGATTTGTTTACAGACAGGTAAACTATAAGCACTCAAATACACATTTCAGACTTCCCATTGTCCCCTGCTTCTTGTGCTTGATGATCCACTACTGTCTCTACAATCACCATCATCTCTGGTTCATAAAGTGGTGCTTATTTAAACCTATTTATGGCATTATACAGAACCACACAGGAGCATAGAATGTAGGATCTCTGACCTGCCTTGGCCTGTGAAGAAAAACATTGTTACTTCTTGTCTTGAGATTTCAGCCATTTATACAAATATGGACCAAATATGACACACAAGGTTCACAGGGCATATGGCAAATGTGCATCATGCACAATATACTTTTCAGTATATTACTTACATGCATGCTTTTGAAAATGTTAAAACATTGATAAGTTTGTTGAATACATGGCACAGATAATTGTTCTGCCGAGATAGGTAGCTAATGGTATAGCAACGCCATCTAGAGGGATATTGTGGAAATACTAAGAATGCTGTGTGGATGATGAAGCACAAACAGGAGTCATAATGACTGCAGCATCACATTTCAAACATCTCCAAATCTTCACCAGGGCTTATATAGCTCACCCTGTGTCTTTAAGGACTATGCACAGTAGCCATCTCCCAGCACATTTCTGAACCACTATATTGGCTCTTGTATTTCCCTCGTTTTAACAGGAATAATTCCTCTCATCCAAGCATTAATCAGAAGATCCAATCCATAGGCGTTTATATGTTATCATGCTTCCTGCAGGATATGTCACAATTAGTGCTTATAATTATTAATATTTGAATGTCAGAGCGAATGTTATTATTTAGCTTCTTATGACTGTAGAAAAAATATTTATTTGGTTGACAGATGAGATGTTTCCCTCTCTTTTCTAGCATTTTACTTAGTTCTGAATAATGAAGAAGTAACATTTCTATATGGACAGTCATAACATTTCATTGCTTTTTTCTAATTTTGATAATTAACTTATTACATTTTATATAGCAATGTAGTTATGTCTCAATTATTTATGTATCTTACTTAAAATGTATTCCATTTACCAAGCACTTGATATTTCAAAGACCACTGAAATGAATCATGTTATTAAATGTAATCATTGCATAGACACTCATTTTTATTTGTCCCCAATTAAGAATGAGTACATCCAAACTGAACTAATTATATACAGTATGTACACTACATGGCCAAAGGTATGTAGACACCTGCTCGTCGAACATCTCATTACAAAATCATGAGCATTAATATGGAGTTGGTCCCCCCTTTGCTGCTATAACAGCCTCCACTTTTCTGGGAAGGCTTTTCACTAGATGTTGGAACATTGCTGCGGGGACTTGCATCCATTCAGCCACGGTAGCATTAGTGAGGTTGGGCACTGATGATGGGCGATTATGCCTGGCTCGCAGTCGGCATTCCAATTCATCCCAAAGGTGGGGTTGAGGTCAGGGCTCTGTGCAGGCCAGTAAAGTTCTTCCACACCGATATTGGCAAACCATTTCTGTATGGACCTCGCTTTGTGCACGGGGCATTGTCATGCTGAAACAGGAAAGGACCTTCCCCAAACTGTTGCCACAAAGTTGGAAGCACAGAATCGTCTAGAATGTGGTGTCCACATACTTTTGGTCATGTAGTGAATGTGCAATACACCGAAAGGTTGGTGGTTCAAATACCCGAGCCGACAAGGTAGAAAATCTGTCAATGTGCCCTTGAGCAATGCACTTAACCTAATTAGCCCTTTGCTCCAGGGGTGCCGTACTACTATGGCTGACCTTGTAAAACCACACATTTTGCTGCACCTATCTGGTGTATGTGACAATTACCATCTATTATTGTATGGCTTTGACACACCACTGTCTAAAGTCTCTGTGACAGCCTGATTATAATTTAGCAAAGTAATCCACAGTATAGTCAGTGCCAAAACTGTTACACTGCAGCTGCTGTAGAATGTGTCTGTTGCACAATCCCTTCAAGGTGCCCCAGAGTGTACTGTAAAACTAAGGTGTCTGTATTGCTTATGTTTTTTGTCCTTTGGGTTTTGTGTTTGGAAAAGGGCCACATGGATAATTGCGTACCAGCAGATAATGTCAATTTAGTGGCTATCAAAACATAAAACACTGAGTGAAGACAATACAATAAAATGATTTTCAGCTCAGTATGGTCAGTTGCTGTTATTTAGCATCTTTTTTATTACTTGGAGTCAATGAGGTGGTTACAGAAGAGTTGTAGTAATGACCTAGACATTGTAACAATGGTTTCCTCATGTGGTGACCAATGTGCAGCTACATTTAATAAGCATACTGAATTCTAATAACTTGATAGTCCCAAAAATTATGGTTTTTGTGACAGTATCCTAAGTGATTGAAATGCTAGCACTAGGTTTTCCCAATACTGGAAAACGTGTAGAGAAAGTTAGAAAACCCAATTAGAATTAGTTAGAATGAGCGTTTGGCTGACATTGTCCAGAATATGGCATATTTGACCAACTAACCTGTTACTGGAGTGCATATTCTCATATTTCTAAACAAGTAGACCTAACCTTGATATCCTGCTAGGGTAGGCTATTTTGATACATAAATAAAGTGTCCTCCTATCATTTAACAATATTTATTGGTTCTGTGCATTAACAAACAAGCATTTGATCATCTTGGACAATATGTAAATATGTCCATAAGTTTACTGCAGAAAGAAGACAATAACATTTTCTAAATAGCCACTGACCATTTCACGTCCTACACCGCTGGTTACATTGAATCGGGGTAAAGTTGTTACATTGTAACACCCTTTATGACAGTATGACTTTAAACGTGTTGACCATAACAATTCCCAGTGGTGAGAAAAAAAATCCCATTTGTTGCAAATGTCACTTGTTGACGCCCTCATCCGCAATCGCCACCAATCACAGCAAGGGACTAGTTCCTTATTTGGTATGAAGGCTACTTAAATCCGTCTCTCTTTGTTGCTACAGCCAATGAAATAATTTAGAACGCGATTGGCTGCCGGGGTTACGATAGACAGAACAACATAGTGACATCATTTATGCAAAAGATTAACAATGTGATGGATGACTAAATTACCAAAGAGGAGTTTTCATCATGAGGACAAAGCTTTCGAATAGCCTGTTCGATATTGGGGAAATATGTAGACTACGAACGGATCGGAATGCATTGCAGAGGTGATGTCGAGTTGTGGGAGTCATACGCCCCCGCAGTGTTCTGAGCAAAATATGAAGTTAAAGCGGAGCGAGCCAAACCGTGAATATTCCAATGCTGGCAACCAGCAAACTACATTATTATGAATGGTCCACATACTATGCGGTATTTTAGTCGGCTATGCTTTGCGGTTTGATGTTTTGCTAGCATCTTTCAGCCTTTTTAATGGCTAAAGATTATGCTTAGCTGAATATGAAATGCATATTTTATTCTGGTGCATTTCTACCTAAAAAGCTTGGCATATGCGATTTTTTCCCCCTTAATTTCGTTTATTTGAATGATCGCAGTATCCCTTATCTGGACTTACGGGAGTGGATATTGGTACAGCAACATGTTATAGCACGCCTGGGTTATTGACAAATGCAAGTGGAATCATCACGGGCTGCCATCTGCCAGGACCCCCACTTTTGAATTGAACAATGACTGGACCCAACGCCACTAGCACTTCATCTGCAGCTAAGATGGGGCGGCACCGATCCAAAAGTACCAGTGGCAGTACGTACTGCCACTCGAGCCCGGGTGCTGAATCTGCCACCCTTAGCACACCCAACAACGCTGGACGTTCATCGGGAGAAGAAGATGAGAAAGATGGGGGTGTGCTCTTTTACGTGAACAGAACTGGTTTTCCCATTGAGGGTGTCACTTGGGAGAGGATGTGGACTCATGTAGCCAAAGTACACCCTGATGGACAAGACATGGTCAGCAAGATAAGGAATGCTGCATACCTTCACAAAGTAAGTATAGCCTCAAAGCCAGACAGATAAGCAGTGATATTGTCATAAAAATCCTGTGCAATTACCATGTAATAACCAACACTGACATGCTTCAAATTGCAATTCAACATATATAATTTGCAATTCCATCCATGCAAAGAATCCATCAACAACTGTTCACAGGACCATAACAGGATGAGTTGAACATTTCCTCCTGAAAGTCTTTCCTGATTATGCTGTGGAGGAATGAAGCATTAAGGCATGCAGACTATTTCAGCCTGCCCCTGGCCTCCAACAGGACACTACATTGTCTGAGTAATTTCATCAGAGGCCAGACATAACTGGGACTGAGTGTCACCAAGCAGGGATCAGTGTTGAGAGCCTTTTTCTCTGTCACTGGTGGGAGTGGGGCTGTGCTGAGAAATGAGACTATGGAGCATTACAATTAGTGTATGTGATGGCAAATCCCAAGCTCATAGCACACTGTCAGCTATATAAAGCAGAGCATATGACAACAATGCACACAGGAATCTTTGTATTTGCCACGGTCTGTGTCCATTCTTGGTGCTGCCTCTGTACTAGTTGTTGTAGCTATGACCAGGGGCTGCTTTGGTGCTGCATCATCAAGGGACAGTGTGAAACTTGCTTTTATGTTTAGTGTCTTATGAACTACCGTTTGGCAGTCCACAATAACAGTAACCTGTAGGCCTGGTCAGTCCTGTGGGATTTCACTCATGCTATTATATACCATTGTCCATCATCTAACCCTCTCCACTCAAGAATAAACAAAGACAAACACTATCTATAGGCTATGCCTTTGTGAATAGGCGAATAGTAGTTGTGTTCTGCATTCTTACGCAATACTAGGCGGTAACCTAACACTGTTTTGAGAAACACAAATGGTGGAAAAAGTGTGAAAGGAGAATGGAGTCTTGGATATCCCAGAAGTAACAGTGACCTATATTGAGTCCTTCTTGACCAGTCTGTGATCTCCAGGTGCAGCCGTTGGGCTATGTTACAGGCAGCTCAGGGATAACCTCAAAGCCAGGGCCAGCGTCTGGGTGACTGTGTGGAGGAACGAATGAGCATTGCACTGCTGTCTGTGGAACTCACGCGTATTCAAACAGAGCTATAGGCTACAGAGAGAAACCTGTGAAGTCTCAGCACACTCTGAGGGCTGGAGGTGTGATTAAAATGCACCTCGTGATCCATTTTTTGCAGTCTTTGCAATCTTGCATTAGGAAAAGGGTTAGGATTTTATGTATTTACCTGTAGACATTCATTGTTTTGGGAATTTGATTAATGGTTCCACTGTCCCACCCATATGGCATGTTGGTAAGAAGTTAGCAGATTTGACTCTCGGTCTCCTGAAATACTGTATTTCTCTATGTTCTGCTCTATTGATATTGTGGTAACATTACTATGTCATGTCAGGAATGATAACACCACTTCTTGAGCTCTGTGCCCTTACTTTGCCCTGATTATTTGAAGGGGTTGGTTGTGAGCGAACTAATCCACCATCTGGGATTTGAGTCTAGGATAATCTCTATAATTCTTTCCAAAAAGCTTTTTACAGGAAACAAAACAGGCTTTCAGCCCAAAGCCTTCCATTCTGTTTCAAACTTACCTCATGCGTACCTCATTGCGTCACAACAGGATTTGGTTAGGCTGAACTGATCTCCAAACGTGGTGCTACTGAGTGAAGAATCATTTATGTATTTGTTTTTATTTCACATGCAGTCCAATGGGAGAAGGTTCAATCTAATGTTTTATGCTTACATGCACATCACATGGAAACCGCAAGCTACAGTGGGGGAAAAAAGTATTTAGTCAGCCACAAATTGTGCAAGTTCTCCCACTTAAAAATATGAGAGAGGCCTGTAATTTTCATCATAGGTACACGTCAACTATGACAGACAAAATGAGAAAAAAAAATCCAGAAAATCACATTGTAGGATTTTTTATGAATTGATTTGCAAATTATGGTGGAAAATAAGTATTTGGTCAATAACAAAAGTTTCTCAATACTTTGTTATATACCCTTTGTTGGCAATGACACAGGTCAAACGTTTTCTGTAAGTCTTCACAAGGTTTTCACACACTGTTGCTGGTATTTTGGCCCATTCCTCCATGCAGATCTCCTCTAGAGCAGTGATGTTTTGGGGCTGTCGCTGGGCAACACGGACTTTCAACTCCCTCCAAAGATTTTCTATGGGGTTGAGATCTGGAGACTGGCTAGGCCACTCCAGGACCTTGAAATGCTTCTTACGAAGCCACTCCTTCGTTGCCCGGGCGGCGTGTTTGGGATCATTGTCATGCTGAAAGACCCAGCCATGTTTCATCTTCAATGCCCTTGCTGATGGAAGGAGGTTTTCACTCAAAATCTCACGATACATGGCCCCATTCATTCTTTCCTTTACACGGATCAGTCGTCCTGGTCCCTTTGCAGAAAAACAGCCCCAAAGCATGATGTTTCCACCCCCATACTTCACAGTAGGTATGGTGTTCTTTGGATGCAACTCAGCATTCTTTGTCCTCCAAACACGACGAGTTGAGTTTTTACCAAAAAGTTATATTTTGGTTTCATCTGACCATATGACCTTCTCCCAATCCTCTTCTGGATCATCCAAATGCACTCTAGCAATCTTCAGACGGGCCTGGACATGTACTGGCTTAAGCAGGGGGACACGTCTGGCACTGCAGGATTTGAGTCCCTGGCGGCGTAGTGTGTTACTGATGGTAGGCTTTGTTACTTTGGACCCAGCTTTCTGCAGGTCATTCACTAGGTCCCCCCGTGTGGTTCTGGGATTTTTGCTCACCGTTCTTGTGATCATTTTGACCCCACGGGGTGAGATCTTGCGTGGAGCCCCAGATCGAGGGAGATTATCAGTGATCTTGTATGTCTTCCATTTCCTAATAATTGCTCCCACAGTTGATTTCTTCAAACCAAGCTGCTTACCTATTGCAGATTCAGTCTTCCCAGCCTGGTGCAGGTCTACAATTTTGTTTCTGGTGTCCTTTGACAGCTCTTTGGTCTTGGCCATAGTGGAGTTTGGAGTGTGACTGTTTGAGGTTGTGGACAGGTGTCTTTTATTCTGATAACAAGTTCAAACAGGTGCCATTAATACATGTAACGAGTGGAGGACAGAGGAGCCTCTTAAAGAAGAAGTTACAGGTCTGTGAGAGCCAGAAATCTTGCTTGTTTGTAGGTGACCAAATACTTATTTTCCACCATAATTTGCAAATAAATTCATTAAAAATCCTACAATGTGATTTTCTGGAATTTTTTCTCTCAATTTGTCTGTCATAGTTGACGTGTACCTATGATAAAAATTACAGGCCTCTCTCGTCTTTTTAAGTGGGAGAACTTGCACAATTGGTGGCTGACTAAATACTTTTTTCCCCACTGTATCATGCTCTAAAGATAGGTCTAGTCTCTGTCCAATACCCAACTATCTTCTTGAGAGAGACAAATGTCCAGGGTGTTTGGTGCTGCAATCACATCTTGGCTGTCTCTTTCTCTCAGGTTTCACTGATGTCCCCTGGAGAAGTAAAGTTAGATTAGAGTCACCACACAGGGGGCAGCCTGTTCGACTCCCACATGACCTCTCTAAAGCTGGGGAACAGACAGGCGGGGTGGGGGACAGCTGGATGGAAAAGGAGAAAGTCCCACTTTGAACTACCTTTTAATTCCCGCGTGTCCACCTGTGAGGAGCATATGGTACGGCTACAGACAGACAGACCATGCATTGTCAGCCTCAGCCTTGTTCAGTGAGGTCACCAGGTGTTAATACTAACCCACTTACTGCAGTGCTAAGGCTGAAATTCAATCTACATTTCAAAGCTTGTGCCACTGCCACAAGTTCTCCATTTCCCTCTGTGTAATTGTCCTCTTTTTTATAATAAGTTGTCTTTCACACCTTATAATGAGGAATGAAGTTGTGAGTCCCACACTCTTCCGTTCAGCTCCAGTAGTTTTCTGAGCTCCGCAGGGCACCCTCCTCTTCTCCAGATTGGAGAAGATGAAGAAAGAGGAGAAGGCAGACAGCTAATTACACAGGGTGAATTGGGAGCACTGTGTGTCACACTCCTTTGTACACTCTCTAAAAACTAACACTGCATCTAAATGAGAATATAACTAAAATAAGATGCACTTTATTAGTCCACACGAGAAGGAAATGTGTCTTCTGCTTTTATCTTATCCCCCCTTGAAAAGCAGAAGACACATTTCCATACTGTGACAAATATATATACTGTGTACAGTGCATTCGGAAAGTATTCAGACCCCTTGACTTTTTCCACAATTTGTTACGTTACAGCCTTAATCTAAAATGGATTAAATACACATTTTACTCATCAATCTACACACAATACCCCATAATGACAAAGCAAAAACAGGTTTTTAGAAATGTTAGCAAATGTATTTGAAACAAGGAACAGAAATACCTTATTTACATAAGTATTCAGACCCTTTCCTATGAGACTCAAAATTGAGCCAGGTACGTCTTGTTTCCATTGATCATCCTTGAGATGTTTCTACAACTTGATTGGAGTCCACCTGTGGTAAATTCAATTGATTGGACATGATTTGGAAAGGCACACACCTGTCTATATAAGGTCTCACAGTTGACAGTGCATGTCAGAGCAAAAACCAAGCTATGAGGTTGAAGGAATTGTCCATAGAGCTCAGAGACAGGATTGTGTGGATGCACAGATATGGGGAAGGGTACCAAAAAATGTCTGCAGCATTGAAGGTCCCCAAGAACCCAGTGGTCTCCATCATTCTTAAATGGAAGAAGTTTGGAACCACCAAGACTCTTCCTAGAGCTGGCCGCCCGGCCAAACTGAGCAATCGAGGGAGAAGGGCCTTGGTCAGGGAGGTGACCAAGAACCTGATGGTCACTCTGACAGAGCTCCAGAGTTCCTCTGTGGAGATGAGAGCACCTTCCAGAAGGACAACCATCTCTGCAGCACTCCACCAATTAGACATTTATGGGAGAGTGGCCAGACGGAAGCCACTCCTCAGTAAAAGGCACATGACAGCCCACTTGGAGTTTGCCAAAAGGCACTTGAAGGACTCTCAGACCATGAGAAACAAGATTCTCTGGTCTGATGAAACCAAGATTGAACTCTTTGGCCTGAATGCCAAGCGTCACGTCTGGAGGAAACCTGGCACCATCCCTACGGTGAAGCATGGTGGTGGCAGCATCATGCTGTGGGGACGTTTTTCAGCGACAGGGACTGGGAGACTAGTCAGGATCGAGGGAAAGATGAAGGGAGCAAAGTACAGAGAGTTCCTTGATGAAAACCTGCTCCAGAGTGCTCAGGACCTCAGATTAGGGCGAAGGTTCACCTTCCAACAGGACAACAACCCTAAGCATACAGCCAAGACAACGCAGGAGTGGCTTCAGGACAAGTCTCTGAATGTCCTTGAGTGGCCCAGCCCGAGCCCGAACTTGAACCCAATCGAACATCTCTGGAGAGACCTGAAAATAGCTGTGCAGCGACGCTCCTCATCCAACCAGGTAAACTGTGCAGGCAAGGAGATTGAATTTAAAACAAGTGAAATTTATCTTGGTGTGTCCCTAGATCAATCCCTTACTGGAGACCTGATTGCTGCTCAAATTATTTCTAAAATGGCGAACAAATTGAAATGTTTATATCGTAACACTTGATATTTTAACATCAAAGTTAAGAAACTGCTTGTCTCAACCTTGATTCAGTGTCATTTTGATTATGCATGCTCTGCTTGGTATAGCGGGCTATCAAAAAAGCTGAAAAAGAGAATGCAGGTCATGCAAAATAATGTTATCAGGTATATGCTGAATGTCCCCCCTAGGACCCACATAGGGGTACAGGAGTTCCGGGAGGTGGGCTTGTTATCTTTGGAGTCCAGAGTGGACCAACTTAAACTTAATCATATGTTTGACATCTTAAATGATCGTGCCCCAGGTTATATGAAAAACCACATTGATATGGTTTTGTTATGTCTTGCTAGTGTTATGTCTTGTAAAATCCCAAGAGTAAACAGTATTGCAAGGAGCACATTTTTCTATACAGGCATTTGTCTATGGAATAACCTCCCCTTGGAGATCAAGCAAAGAAAAAGTAGAAATAGCTACAAAGCAGGCAAAGGTTTTCATTTGGACAAGGTTGTCTAGGTAAGAGAAACCAATCTACTGCCCTTTGTGCCCCCTACTGCTGGTCAGGTGTTTTTATTTGAATGATAGGTATGATGTGCAATGAATAGATTGTTTTAATGTCTAATTAATATGGTTCATTTTTAAGGTTAGGGAAAAGTGCAGTGAATAGTGCCACTTTTTAGTATGTCAATATACATGAATGTATTTATGGTTGTTTGTAATTTTTTCTTGCCTTTTAATCATTATATGTGTTACTGTTTTTACCATCGAGGACTACTTTGGAAACAAGCATTTTAATTAATACTTTCAAGTGATATCCTCTGGGTCCACATTGTACATTTTGTTGTATATGTCTGTTACCCAAAATAAATTCAATTAAATTCAACCTGACAGAGCTTGTGAGGATCTACAGAGAAGAATGGGAGAAACTCCCCAAATATAGGTGCTCTAAGCTTGTAGCGTCATACCCAAGAAGACTCGTGGCTGTAATCGCTGCCAAATGTGCTTCAACAAAGTACTGAGTAAATGGTCTGATTACTTGTGATATTTCAGTTTTTTTGTTTTAATACATTTGCAAAAAATTATAAAAACCTGTTTTTGCTTTGTCATTATGGGGTATTGTGTGTAGATTGATGGAAAAAAAAACAATTTAATCAATTTTAGAACAAGGCTGTAACAACAAAATGTGGAAAAAGTCAAGGGGTCTGAATACTTTCCGAATGCAATGTACATTCCTACTGTGTGACCATGCTGAACATCCAGTATAGGATTCACCAGTTCAGTTGGGAAGGTTGTCCTTACTGCTACTGCTCACTACATATCTTCCTAATTGCCTCCAATTAAGTTGCCAGAACCCTCTTCCTATCTTGGCATTAGCCCTCAGGTGTCGCTTGCTATCAACTCACTTCTTTAATGCCAAAAGAAACTAGACAGGATCTACCATTTCTACAGATAATTAAATGTATCTGAGGCACTTGTGTGTGAAATCAGTAGTTCTCAATTTGCTCTGCTATAGGAGAATCAGTACAAGCAAGCATACATTTGTTGTTATAGCTTGAATTGGCGAAGATCGGACCTTTTTAGTCATGCTACATATTTAGTCATATCCCAGCACTGGGATTCGAACCAGCAATGTAAACTTGAGGAAAACACTAGTTAGGGGCAGCGCTTCTCTAACCTCGAGGGAACAGCTGCCCCTACTAGTGTTTTCCTCAAGTTTACATTGTTCTATTAAAGATGGAATCCGCAGTAGAGGAAACAGCGCCACTGTCCGCCCAACACCGCCATTCACTGATGTTTTGTTTTGTTGACAAAGCGGAGGTGAGGAGCGGTGTGCACCGTGGTATTTTTCTTTGTTAGGACATTTACATATTCTGCTGTTCTATCGCACGTGCAATGATGTCCCCCCCCCCAAAAAATACTGTGTTGATTCTTTGCAGTAACTTCTTTGTTGTTGTAATATTGCAAATGGATGTGGCAGTTTCACCATTAAGGATTCCAGCTTTAAGCATCAATTAAGTTATTCTAAGACGGTTGTGTTATTACATTGCTATATGTGATGTGGTTGGCTACACTTTGAGAAGATGCCTGATACCAAGCACTAGGAAATCCTTTCCTCAGTCAGCACTCATCCTCATCCTCTCATCCCTCCATTTGCTGTGGAGAGAGAGATAAAGAGAGGGAGAGAAGAAATAAATAACCCCGTATTCCTTCCCTGACCCAGCAGAATTCTGTTCCATTCCTGGTTCTCCACAGTGGAGATATCGCTGGCAGGGGGATTGTGTGAGGGATTATAGAGAAATAAGACCCAGTGCCACTGACTGCTGAATATTACACTTATTTTTCAGCATTTTCATTTGCACAGGTTTGATTTAATGCTTTTAAAATGAGCCTGTGTGATGAGAGAGAGCTTAGAGCCCTATCTGTAGGGGGTAGAGCGCTTAGAGCCCTATCTGTAGGGGGTAGAGCGCTTAGAGCCCTATCTGTAGGGGGTAGAGAGCTTAGAGCCCTATCTGTAGGGGTAGAGGGCTGATGAGCCCTATCTGTAGGGGTAGAGCGCTTAGAGCCCTATCTGTAGGGGTAGAGGGCTGATGAGCCCTATCTGTAGGGGGTAGAGAGCTTAGAGCTCTATCTGTAGGGGGTAGAGAGCTTAGAGCCCTATCTGTAGGGGTAGAGGGCTTAGAGCCCTATCTGTAGGGGGTAGAGAGCTTAGAGCCCTATCTGTAGGGGGTAGAGAGCTTAGAGCCCTATCTGTAGGGGTTAGAGAGCTTAGAGCCCTATCTGTAGGGGTAGAGGGCTGATGAGCCCTATCTGTAGGGGTTAGAGAGCTTAGAGCCCTATCTGTAGGGGTAGAGGGCTGATGAGCCCTATCTGTAGGGGGTAGAGGGCTGATGAAGGACAAACCTTATTTTCCTCTTCATCTCACCTTGATTGCTTTGGGTTTCTCTTTTCCTCCCCACACAAAATAAACACATTTGCTATCTCTCTCACGCCCTCTTTCTCTGTACCTGTTAGGCCTTTGATCCAGTGGCTGTATTGTTCTCTGTTGAGTCAGATACTACACAAACCTGGTTGAAAGGATCAGAGTGTGTGTGTGTGTGTGTGTGCCATTGATTCATCACAGAAACAGACCAAACAATGACTAACTAGAATGACTGATATCCTGGAAAGGAAATGTCTTTCCTCTGGGTTTAGGGCATGGTACTCTGTCATTAGTTTGATCTATCACCTCAGGCTTTCCAAATAGAGCATAGTAGGGTTTGTGTGACTGAGCCAGAGGGCTAAACTGTTTGTCTTGGGCATGACACCAGACTCCTCAGATAAGCTCTGTTTTACAGCTCTGTTGAGAAGAGAAACAACCCTGAGGAAATTACATAGCGTTTAGTCTACTGGGTCCCCTTCCTTCACACACACACACACACACACACACACACACACACACACACACACACACACACACACACACACACACACACACACACACACACACACACACACACACACACACACACACACACACACACACACAGAAATATGTTTGTTTTTCTGGTTCTGACTGAGTCAATGACTGTACAATAAAATGGAAGCCAAACATTTTATGAGACAAGCACAGTTTTAGCCTCAGCCGTAGTCATTGATACAGCTGTTCTACAGCGTTTCTTTCAGACCTTCAATATTGCCACATGTTTATGTTTCCACCACCACCAAGATAAACTCTAACACAGTCTTTTTTTGTCATCCCACAGCACCCTGTGCCATTGGTCCCCAACTTCAAGCCCTCCATGTCTGTCCCTGCCTGGCTGCTGGCCATCCAGAACTACATGAAGACACTGCAGTATCCTTTCCCTGCCGAGCCCGCAACCTGCCACCTCCCTTCCCCTCCTCTCTCACAGAACACGCTGAGAAGAGAGAAACCACAGCTCCTTTTAGCACACAGTGTCCTGCTATAGCTCATTACAGATCTGTGACACATTTCACACTGTTTAATTCAGTCTGGAGCCCTGGGGGTTGCACAGTACGTATGCAGTGTGTTAGCTAGCTAACACTGTGTCAAGGTTTTCAGGTGGGCTTAATTTGTTGTGATTGTAGCCAGGGGAGTGCAGGTGCACCAACTGCCATAGCAACAGGTGATGCTTGGGTCTGTAAATAATGTCACAGTACTTTATAGTCTGCACTCTGTTAACTGCAGGAGACACATTCAGATGGAGAGCCATAGTTTTCTAATTAATTTCAGTTAGACTTGACACACGGCAGTTAGGGAATTTTTTTAATGAATTAGGTCTTCAAGGTACAGTTTAATTTCTCTCAAATATTCATAAACCTCTAGCCTACAATACATTACATAAACTTGATATCAGAAACATCACCATTTTCCTCTCACCCAACCCTTGTAAATGATTACAGACCCCTTTGAATGCCCCTTAACTGTCTGTCAGATACAATCACACAGGAACTCAGTTCTTTGAGATAAGGAAAACCAGACCATTGTGTGGGTAAGTTTGGCTATGAGGTCATTTCTGTGGTATTTTCATTGGTTTGTCTTTGTGTCTTTACTGTGTCTGCCACTGTACCGAGCCAGGAGAGAGGTCCCACTACTCTGTGAGACAACATCATTTATCTGTAGAAGAAAATAGGCCAGTTCATATGTTTAAAATAGCTGTCCTCTGCCTCTTTCTGTGTCCTTTACCCAGAGTACACATGCTATGTGCATGTACTCTGCAAAGACAGCCAGGACATTTAACGTTTGATCGAAAATATTTCGTATTTAGAAGATGGTGCTTTCATTAGTGTGCTTGGCTTGTACTTGAAACATTTGAAGTCAATCAAACAGGGGTTTGTTGTAATCCTGTTTGTATAACACAATTGTGTCATTGTCAGTATAAGGCACCAAAGGGGACCTTGTATGAAACAAGAATATTCACTATCATCTTTGTTCTCTTTCAGGTTGATGGAGACTGCGAGAGAAATGATCAGGGAATCTCTTCCAATCAAATGCCTTGAAGCTGTCATCCTTGGAATGTATCCTTTCTTTGTCTGTAGGCACAGTCATAGATACACATTAACCAGTGGGAGTTAGAGCTGATCTGTTTCAGGTCAGGAGGTGCCAGATGAAACCCCTGAAATCAATTAGATGCATCCAGTTGTGCGACTGACTAGGTATCCCCTTTCCCTTTAATGTTCCCCCTTAGGCCAATAAGGCTCACATATTTCCCTGTTGCTAGGAAACAAGAGTCTGAAAGTTCAAAATGTAACTTCCCTCCTTGCATATAGGCAGGCAGAGCAAAGTTTCTGCAGCGCCTTACACATTGCCATTTAGAGCCGTTTGGCTGCTGGGCCTTTTCACAAACGGTTACTGTCACGTCCAAGCCTGATCTTTCTCAGGGCACAGGTTTATCCTCTGTCAAAATTGCAGGTTGGTCTCACTTTTGAATAAAGAGACTGTGTCTGTTGTGTCTGTTGACTTTACAGGCTTTTCTCTTGGTTTATCCCACTGGGCAACATCTGGTTTTCATTTACATTTGGTTGAGTTGAATTAAATGTGAAATAATAAAATAAATGTAATCATGTCATTGGATTTAGGTTAAAAATACAAAATTCCCTTACGTTATTGACTTTTATTCAAATCCAATCAGTTTTACATGTTGATTCAACATCATCACATTGAATTATTGGGTTGAAATGACATGGAAACAATGTTGATTCAACCAGTTTTTGCCCAGTGGGATGTCATAGGCTTAAGTCCAAGTCTGTCAGGTGAGACCAAACCTGTTAACCCTCATTGACAAAGATGATTAGCTTAATGATGCTTTGACTTGCAACAGACTTTCTCTGATCTCCTAGATGAAAGAGACAGCCAAGCTGTATGCTAAGATACAAAACCAGTTGATATGTTCAGATACTCACTGACTACACTCAGTTCATGCATTATTAATAGGGAGAAAAATAGAGACTCAGTTGTTACAGCATGGCTCTTAGTTCTGTTCTGTTAATGGTTGAGTAGATGGAGTGTTGTATACTCATGTTTATCTTATGATACAACCTGTTTCCCTCAAGATCAACTACTACAGCCTTGTCTTTGTGTTGAGCTGAAGCCATCGGTAACTTGGTGCATTAGTAGGTCCTCCCAAGGCAGATTCCTCTACTACAGATAAGAGATTCTGAGCACAATAGCCTAAGATGCTTATCGCAGAGAGGAGAAACAGAGTTTATGTTTTTTTAAGGAAGGGTAATCTAACTCTGTTTCATCAGGTTTTGGACATATTTCATTCAATCTTTTGATCAGCCAGGGCCATTAACCAGAGCCTAGATTTCAAATGCATGAAATCATGTGATTTAGTACATGAAAAAGTTCCAAGTTGAAATCCAAGTTGTAATGGAACTATGTATGCTCTTATTATTGTCACACATTTAAACCATTTGTTTTTGCCTGTTACGAGGATTGATAGAACATCAAAGAATTAGGGTAAGTGAGGGCACATCATTTTAATACTTTAGAAAACAGTGAATGTACTGGATCAGGGGTCACTGGCAGTCTTGTCCCAGCAGGATGTTTAGATGTTTATTGCGGGTTGGAAAATGAAAGTTTCTCCTTTCACTTACTGATTGAAATGTGGTTTTAAAAACCATTTTAAGAGGGGCAGCAGATGGTTTTACTAAAGTGCTGACCCTCCTCTTGACCCCACAGTGGTGCATCATGGATCATATTTACTCTGGGCCATCTCCCACACAGAGCATCATGGCGACCGAGCATGCATGTATCTTAATCTTCCAAACACTGACAGAGTGTTTATCATATAACTGGAGATATGCTGTTCTGTTGGAGAAGGGTTTAGGGGGCAGTTAAAAGGCGTGTAATTAATATTTGCAAAGTCTCCCTGGGGTTTGCCCAGCTCAGGTGACAAAGCAGCAGAGAGTGTGGGGGGTAGTGCTGCTAGAGCTAGTACACACAGGCCTTATAGAGTATACTTCTCTTGGCTTGGTTTCTATGGCAACAATAATCCTCCCCAGGTGACGGAAAGAGCTCTTGCCTGGTGGCAGATAAGAGGACTTGAAGAAGTATGCTACTATTGGGGTTGCGGTGTATCACATGCCTTGCATCATGGGTAATATGTGCTATTTGTGTAGTTAGTTAATGGAGCATTCATTATGGAGAAGCAATGGGGGGACTCCCTGTGTGTGTGTGTGTGTAGACAGACCCAGCTACCACAGGGGAGGACAGAGGGGCTTTCTTTTTTTCTGTTGCTCTAACTGCCGCCTCAATGAATAATCACACCAACGTTCTGCAACCGATGCCGCACTGCGCTCGCTACTCTGTGAAAAAACAAGGTGTCAGAAAAAAAGTATTCTTTCTGAGGGCGATTATTTCTGCTGTCTGTTTGGATTCTCCCAACGTTGGGTTTGTTTCTCATGCGAAAACAGAGTGTGACTGATCAAAGTGTTGGTGTGAACTACCATAACCTCCTTTCATGATGCTTCCTGTCCTGTGGTGATCTTAAATAATACCTGTCCCTCTTCTCTCAAACCTCAAGAGTTCTCATCTTCAAATGGGATATGCCCACTTGATTTAGTCGAGGCTTCCTCTGTAAATATTGCTCTACAGGCATCTTGCTTGTGAAACATGACTCGTGACCATACACGAACGCTACAAAGACACCTTTTAATTATGTATGTTATGGAAGGGAATCCCCAAAGCAGCCGTTAAACTGGTGGTGAAGCTCTGTCGGCTGGCCTCTATGATTATTTAAAGAAAGTACAGTGCTGAGGTGGGCGGCTTGTAGAGATGACGGACAGACGTTCTGGCCATTGAGATGGCTTGGTGTGGAGAGATAAAATTTTTATAAAAGATGGTTGCTGGTAGCTGAGAGGAAACAGAGCCAAGCCACAAACCAGTCAGTTTGTGCTGAAATGTGCTCCCTCTCTCAGATCCAATGTATTATCTCAACCACAGTAGCAGCCAGCTTGTGTTATTATTACTGCACAACACTGCAGAGTGAGGGCGCAGCGAAAACAGCCTGCTTGTTGAAAACATGAGACAACATCATTACTGATGATGATATAGATTAGTGGATCATAGCTCATACATGCATAATATATGTCTGGATGATGATGAGGTCATTATCACAGAGTACTGCTGAGGCTAATGGTTGGTAGTGGGTCAAACTCTGATCTGATTGACCCTTTCTCAGGTCAGTCAGTGGGGCTGCCAGTTGCTTTTTACTGGTCATTAGGTCACTGACACACACATTGGAGTTTCATATTCTTGTGTGTGTCACTATATTGCCTCTACTGCCTCAGGACCTGGACAGTCCCAGATAACCCAGCTCCAAGTCTGCCATGTCTCCCTCCGCCCCCCTCTCTCCTGGGAAGGACATATTTGTCCAATCTGCCGCATCGTGTGCAGCCCAGCCACGCTGCAGTGGATCCACAGGCCAGTTACATAATAGTTCTGGGGAGCCACGGCACATACAGAGTATAAGCCCCAGGGAGAGACAAGGCTAGCCTGGTGTGCACTCTGTGAGACACTAGATGCCACGTTAGGACACCACAGCTATTTATTCCTGGGACTTTTAGGAATAACAGTCTGAGTGTGATGTTGAGTCTGGCTACTTTCGATTGCAATATGTATATACTGTATACTCGCTTTTGTTTGAAAGTTCATTTATCTGTTTTGTGATAGTATCCCATCCTATGATGTGCTGATTTGGAATGATGAATGTCTTGTAAAAAAAATTCTGCTCCTGCAGAGATGTACTACAGTCTGTCTGCTGTAATGAAGCTGATATAATGAATGTTACACCTCTCAGCTCCGAGCCCTCTCATTCACTCCCTCCATTAGCTGATTTGATTTCGAGAGAGCGTGAATGTGGGCGTGTTTGGGTTCGAAGACAAGCCAGTCTTACTAAATCTGCTACTCCATTATTCAAACAGCCAATGCCAGTTAGCTAATGAGTTTATGGAAATAATATAATTAATTTGTGAGGGGGCTTAACACTGGCCTGGATATGCTCCTTTCTCTCTCTCTCTCTCTCTCTCTCTCTCTCTCTCTCTCTCTCTCTCTCTCTCTCTCTCTCTCTCTCTCTCTCTCTCTCTCTCTCTCTCTCTCTCTCTCTCTCTCTCTCTCTCTCTCTCTCTCTCTCTCTCTCTCTCTCTACTGCTGGTAAACAGCAGTAAACATCAAGTGATTACCATTCAGGAGATTATTAGGGAGTATTAAATCTCTGAAAAGTTGTAAGTTGTTGTTGATTATGCTATTGATGCTAACCCCTTTAACCATGGGGCTTTAGCTCTGACCTATGTATGCCCTTTTTTTCTTTCACTCTTTCTTTCTTTCTTTCTTTCTTTCTTTCTTTCTTTCTTTCTTTCTTTCTTTCTTTCTTTCTTTCTTTCTTTCTTTCTTTCTTTCTTTCTTTCTTTCTTTCTTTCTTTCTTTCTTTCTTTCTTTCTTTCTTTCACTCGCTCTCTCTTTCTGTGTATAAAATTATAGCCATTTAGTAGACAGCATTAAATTCCCTGAAACTGTTGTTGTTGCTAATGATGCCAGTTAACATCCTTGACCATGGTCATGCCAGATATTTGACCAACGGACTGATGTCGGTGGAGCGTTTCCCCATCAGCTTCAAGACCCAGTTTTCAGGGAACCACTTCCACCACGTGGTGCTGGGCGTCTACTGCAACGGACGCTATGGCACGCTGGGCATGAGCCGCCGCCAAGACCTCATGGACAAGGCCCTGACCTTCCGCACGCTCAGCGAGCTGGTGATGGAGTTTGAGGACTCGTACCGCCGCTACCAGCACACACTGAAGAAGGTGAAGATCGGCCTGTACGTGCCCCACGACCCGCACGTCTTCCAGCCCATCGAGTGGAAGTACCTGGTGCTCAACGCCGCCCGCCTAGGGAGAGAAGACATGAGGAAGGAGCTGGAGAAACATGGCCGAGACATGAGGATGAAGGTGACATGTTGTTGTCCTACTTTCTCAAATTTTCTCATGTAGGCGGACATGAGAGGTCATATGTGTCAAACTTGATTACTTGACACCTCACTGCCCTTTTTTCATACATTTCGCCCGTTTAGTATCTACAACACTGTATGTACTGCTGTGGATGCCCAAATACTATATTTCACAAGTCTTTGAAAAATACTCTGAATTTTAGGGTACAGTATACAACTTGAACTCTGTTAGGGTGAAAATGTTCACCACAATAGATAAGCTCTCTAGTCTAATGTCCCGGGGTCATTCCTGAGGGAACGTTCAACTCGTTAGTGTTGCTTTGGCTTGGCTTCCGTCTGGAATTCCCCCTTAGTTCCCTGTCTGAAACCAGGGCGGCTGCCACGGAGGGGCGATGGGTGTAATATGAAATGTCAGGGATAATTAAGGCCAGAGTTCCCCTCAGTGGAAGAGAGAGTGAGAGAGAGAGAGAGAGAGAGAGAGACAGAGACAGAGACAGAGACAGAGACAGAGACAGAGACAGAGACAGAGGACAGAGAAGCTGGATGGTTGGACCACGTCTCCCAGATTTCTCTGCCTCAGCTGTATCGTGTTGGTTGTTGGGGGATGGTAGTAGGATGGTGCGGCTGACTATCACAGCAACAGTAAATGTAGGTCGTGTTCCCAGCTGCCCTGCGCTGGAGATACAGCCTTGACCTTTGTATTTGACCTCTCGTCAGCTGTACATAGTTCACATACATACCGATATTACCGTATTTCTGGAAGCTGAAGAACTCACCACGACCCTTTTTCTTTTTAGAACTAGTAATAGGGACATTAGTGTAAAAACACTCAAAAGCCATTTGGGAAATTAATCTAGTGTGTCTTCTATGCACAACACAGACAGAGAGCTTGCATTTCATACAGTATAGCAGATCAGTGTTTGTCCTATAACCCTCCCCCACTACAGCACACACATCCTTATATCTATTACCAATCTTATGACTAACATCCTGCCTGTGCTCTCAGCTGCATGTGGTTTCTGGAGCACGGAATATGAGCTGCTTCCTGTATGTTCATTCCAGGAAATAAGTTTCATGATTTTTCTCCAGTCTCCTCTGAACTGTCAGTCTGGAGTGAGCTCTCATTAGGTTTCTACCAGGACGGGGTGACCCTGAAACTCTAATTCTGCTAATCAAACAGCGGATGTTAGTAATATGTCAGTGTGACTCCTCCTGATTCTCTCTTTCAGTGCCTGTAGTGTGTGTGTTTGTGCTTGTGTGCGTGTGTGCATGGGTGCCTATGTGTTTTTGCCTCTGTGTGTGCCTAGAAACTGCCTATATGTGCCGGTGTGAGCCCATGGGTAATTGAGTTTGCAGAGGGAGTTGACTAGTGGGCTGATTGGGTTAATGGGGTATCATCATGTTAATGAGGGCACTGCCTGGGAGGTTGCCTTCATTACTGTCTGTTAGTGTCTTTACTAATGAAGAGAGACATTCTCGGCTCTCCTCTCCAACGTCTCTCCACTCCCCGCAGCGTCGACATCCCCTCTCCTCTTCTCCCTACATTGATTCACAGACGGCTCCTTTACTCACTATGTCTCTGAGATCCAACTGTGTCATTAAAAGTTAACTTCTTCAACTGCTCTTTTTATTGAAGTGGAACTTTTAATTTCCCCAGCCCAATGGCCTGCAGCAAATGGGCCCACTGAATGGTGAACATGTCTGCTAATATATATATTTTTTTTTTATTGCAACGCCTCCTGTAGCTTGCAGCTTTAAACAAAACAACACTTAAATATCAGTGCGGTAAAGAAACTGCAGCTCAAACTGGATCTTATCCATTAGATTCCATATCTAAGTCTTATTCTGTTGTTTTCTCTCAGATCCTGAAGTCATCGAGTGCCCAGTCTCCCATCAAAGAACGGACCAGAGGCAAGTCTCTCTCCCCCCGCCGCCGACAGAGCAGCCCCCAAAGATGCCACATCCACCGGAGAGACAAGTCGTAAGTATCCCTGGGAATCAATCTTAGGTTATTAGCATCATTGAAACAAAAGGTGGAAGGTGGAATGGCCTTTCTTAGATCGTTTTACATTGATATCTCAACACTCCCTAACAACTAGGAAGAGTTCGCATCAGGTTACTTTTGAAGAAAATATAATTTCTTGGAAATCATTAGTTTCATGTTTTATAGTCACAAATCTTGAGGTTAGAGTTCATTAAAATATTTTCTTAGAGATTTAATTAAAAGTTGGGCAGGTTTTAATTAAAAGTAAGTGAATCTAAAGCAGATCAGATTGGATATGCATGAGTGAGATGAATAATTCAAATCAACTGTTGATTATCACAACTATAAAACCTCTCAATGTCCCATCTTCATTACTTGGCTAAACGCTATAATGTTAGAGAGAGAGGAATTGGCAGTGTGTCTATACTATGTTTTTCATCCTCTTTTCATATCAATGAGGGCACCCAGCTAGCACATTTGGTTCCTTGGAAGTTGTGGGAACGTACGTTTTTGGTTTCCCATTGGTTCTGGGAATGCAGCCATTTGTTTCCTGACCAGTAAAACAGAACGTTTTTTAAACGTTCTGAGAATGGAAGTGAAAATGTAGCCTGTTCTGGGAATGTTAATTTTGAGGTTGCAGGGAGGTTCTGAAAACGTTGTACTATGGTTCCCTGAAAGTTTACCTGGGAGGTTTTATTAACGTTCTGAGAACTGAAATTATAGGTTATTTTGAGGTTTTTTAAGAACTTCCTTAAAATGTTCACTGAATGTTTCAATAAGACTTTCAATAACTTGCTAGCTTAATTTGGGTTAATTGTATTGAACTCCAAGTGCAGATAGGACTAATGAAAATTAATCATTCAAACACATTTCTTTTTGATTGTGGCACGGCATCAGTGAGATTTCAACCTATGATCTACTGTTCTCTATCCATTGAATTAGTCCACTGCGCCACCAGGATGGAGCTAGCATGCCAAGTTTTTTTAAACTAATACAAAGCTGTTAATTTTAGTCTATTCAAACAGACCCCATTTCAAAGGAAGCAAGCACTTGTTAAGATCAGGTGTGGCCAATTAGTGGGCGTGACCAACATTCCTGAACACACTTAACAAGATTGAACGTTACTAATGTTTTCTTGTGGTTTTTATGGAATGTTTTGTTAATGTTCCGAGAACATGACTTTAAATAGAACCATGCAGAAACCTGCAGAAACATTTTGCTGAAGTACTGAAATTCCCACAGAATAATGTTGTTTCTAAACGTTGTCTGAACTTTTTTAGAACATTACTTTAAATAGAACCATGAGGAAGCCTGTAGGAAACGTTATGCTGAAGTACTGAAATTCCCACAGAAGAACGTTGTTTCTTAACGTTCTCTGAATTATTTGAGAACATTCCCAATGTCAAACCAGTTGGAGAACGTTCCTAGAACAATACCAAACATGTAATTAAATGTAACATGTTTGAAATTTTATGAAACCTTCTGTTAAAGTAATGAAATACCAAGAAAATTGCGTTATTTTGTCAAGTTCCTTAAATGTGCGGAATGTTCCAAAGCCAAGCAACTATCCTGCATCATTCCCAGAACATTGTGGGATGGTTGTATGCAAAATAACCCTAGGACAACTACGCTTTCACCAAGCTATAAGAAAAATATGGTTCTCAGAACATTATGTGCTAGCTGGGCATGGAACCCTGACACACTGACTGAAGTTGCTGACTGTAGCCCTTTACATTAGTACCCGTATACGGGTTGAAAATGGAAAATTTGGGCACGAATAAGCAGCTAAATTGGAACGTAGTAGCTGTACAGTAACATGCTATACATGACGTCAGAGCTTTGGCTCTGTGCTTCACAGCGCTGTATGGGTTTTGACTGACAGACATTCTGAACTTCAACACGCGACAAGAAGTTGCCAACTTTTGCACTTTTTTTGTTGTCTGAGTGAGGGAAATGCTGTAAATTAAGATGACTCAATGTATTTTGAAAGATGAGACATTCATGATTATAAAAAATACCGCTTTAATGTCATACAAGCAAACCATACACCCGTGAGCCCAAATGTGGACTTCACATTTCATAAAACTCATGTCATATAGTGTCAATGTTTATGATCACTATGTTTGATGTACAGTTACAAGATGACATGGATTCATGACCTGGGTTGTTCTGAACAGAATTAGCCTATTTTTCTTTATTGTGAAGAAAATGTGCCACTGCACACTCACCTGAATGCACTCATGACTCCTTTCTACCCGTACCAAAATTACAATCTGTTTCTCTGAATTGCCTTGTGAATTCCTAACACATATTTTATAACTTAGCTAGTCATGTTGGTAATAGAACAAGCTTTCAAATCATGCCCATCTGAACCAGATTACGATTTATAATGGACCGTTTTTGGATTGCATAAACATCAACAGTAATTGTCTGATGGGAGGGATGCAGGGTTGTGTTCCAAACAGAACAACTACAAGTGTGCTTGCTCTAGTTCATCAACGGCACAGCTAGGAGAGCTAAAAAAAAGTTCATTGAAAGTGCTTAAGAACAGTGCACACTTTGGAGAGGTGTGTGGCCACTTGGAGACACCAGTTAGTTCCCTCACCCAAACCCTTGTACATTTTTTGTCTTATGCTACACCTACTGTATATTTTCCAGGAATAGTCTTATCATGTTACTGAATGTATCCAGAGTATTATCAACAAATGCGGTGAAATGTACAGTAAATGTAAAATGCACATAAAATCAACCATGTAATGTTTGGAATCAGTCTTGTGTCAGGTGAACTGTTGTGTACTCACCTTTGGTCTAATAATTTTCCCATTATCTTCAAACTGTTCCCTTTCAATTGCTACCATTGTTATGCATTTAATATTTCGTCTGTAAGAAACATTTCAGTTTATCCCTATCCATATAGGCCAATTCCCCTGAGTGTAAGAGGTTAAGGAGTTAAGAGAATTACTGTAGATGGTTACTGTAGACGATTGCTCTTCTCTTATCCTTAAACCCTCTTTTCCTGCCTTGCATCCTGGCTAAAGATCCCAGTTCAGGAAGAGTTCAGTCTGTCATATTCTTATCAGCTCCAGCGCCCAGTTAGAGGAAACGAAGAGGACTGAGCAGCAGCAGCACTAGAGTAGATACTCTGGGTGAACAGCTCATGGTTAAGTTGGAGTTAATGTGGAAGCACACTAGTTTCAGTGTGTGTGTGGGGGTGAGGGAGTGAATGTGTGCAATGTGCATGCCTGTGGTATGTAGCCTATGCGTGAGTGTACACCACAGTATGTGTTGTGATGGAGGACCTAACGCCGTGGCTTGGCTGAGCTGACGGTCCATTCTGACAGCACAGCAGTATTATGACAGCCTGCTGAGCAGAGGGAGGGAGAAAGAAGTTCTGCTGACATCTGAAAGCCCCAGTCAGCCCAGAGGAGTGTCTCTTATGGAAGGGAAGTGTCCACTCCTATTATCAATCACCAGCACAGTGGGAGGATTCAGGATGGAGGATCCTGCCCTGACAGAGAGGCTGCTGGGATACGTGGAGTGTAGAAGATGTTGCCCATCCCCCCCCCTAACCACTGATACAGAGTCAGATCTTGTATTATCCTCTATTGGTTAAGGTTATGAATGGGGCTAGGGTAATCTGATCCTAGATCTTTGGTGAAGGGCAACTTCTACCTCAAGCCTGTGCAGAAGGCATCCTGGGATTTATGCATGGACTCTCATAATTTATACATGGACTCTACCATAATTCCTCTGGGCTATGCTTAAGTCTGCTGTTGACTGAGTTTGTCACACAGAGACACAGACAGAGGAACAGGACTGGAAGTGTTGTCAAGCTAGAGTGGTTCTGACAAGATAGAGGCTGGAAGGGAGACTCATCCACTCTCACTGATACTTTATTTAAAACCAAACTAGATTTGAAATTGTTGATACAAATAAACTGTCACGAACGTTGAGAGACGGGTCGGACCAAGGTGCAGCGTGAAAAGCATACATATTTATTAACTAAATAAACATTCAACAAAACAAGAAACAACGTAACCTGAAATCCAAAGGGCTTTACACATACCAGCCTAACAGGAACAAGATCCCACAATACACAGTAGGCAATGGGCTACCTAAGTATGATCCCCAATCAGAGACAAAGAGCGACAGCTGCCTCTGATTGGGAATCATACCCGCCCAGACATAGAAATAGAATAACTAGAACCTAAACATAGAATATATAACAGATTCCACACCCTGACTCAAACCTGACATAACGGGAGGGTCCGGGTGGCTTCCCGCTTCGGTGGCGGCTCCGGACGTGACGTCTTTTCCCTTGCTGCCTGGACCGGTCTGGACCTCAACACGGAGCTTCCCCTCTCAGTCCTCCCACGATGCACCGATCCCTGTCTGGACCCTGGTGTGGGAGACCCCGAACCTGGAGAGGGGCTGACATCTGGACCCGGAGTAGAGCCGCTGACCGGAGCTGAACTGGATCCCGGTGGAGCGGACTGCTCTGGCTCCGGAGTGGAGCAACCGGCCAGAGCTGGATCAGGCACCGGTGGAGCGGATTGCTCTGGCTCCGGAGTGGAACCGCTGACCGGAGCTAGACTGGGCACACGCACCACTGGTCTGGTGCGAGGAGCAGGTACGGGCCTTACCGGACTGGGAACACGCACCACTGGCCTGGTGCGGGGAGCAGGTACGGGGCGTACCGGGCTGGCGACACGCACTACTGGTTTGGTGCGAGGAGCAGGTACGGGCTGTACCGGACTGGGAACACGCACCACTGGCCTGGTGTGGGGAGCAGGTGCGGGGCGTACCGGGCTGGCGACACGCACCACTGGTTTGGTGCGAGGAGCAGGTACGGGCCGTACCGGGCTGGATGCACGCACCACTGGTTTGGTGCGAGGAGCAGGTACGGGCCGTACCGGGCTGGATGCACGCACCACTGCTTTGGTGCGAGGAACAGGTACGGGCCGTACCGGACTGGATACACGCACCACTGGTTTGGTGCCGGGAGCAGGCACGTGCCGTGCCGGACTGGAGACATGCACCACTGGTTTGGTGCAGGGAGCAGGCACGGGCCGTACCGGACTGGGAGCACGCACCACTGGCTTGGTGCGAGGAGCAGGCACGGGCCGTGCCGGACTGGGAGCACGCACCACTGGCTTGGTGCGAGAAGCAGGCACGAGGCATACCAGACTGGAAACCGACACTGGAGGTCTACGACTGTACCAGTCCTTTACTCTCCGCGCCCAATCCTCCTCCAGTGAGGACTCCTCCGGGAGCCCCACCGGGTGCAGTGGTCGGGGCTCTTCTCTCTCGATCCCCGACCACCCCTTTAGCCCCCCAACATTTTTTTCTTGGGGCTGCCTCTCGGGCTTCCTCCTCGGCTGGCGGTGTCGCCGTTGCTTCTCTCCTGCCTGGGTTTCCTCCTTCGCCCAGGGTCCTCTATTGGCTACTCTCTCCTTCTCCACCCTCCATATGCTTGGCCAGATCCTCTCTTATCTCCCCCCAAGTCCATGATCTCTGCTCCTCCACCTATGTCCAGGGTGTCTGCTGCTCCTGGGCACGCTGCTTGGTCCGTTCTTGGTGGGATCTTCTGTCACTAACGTTGAGAGACGGGTCGGACCAAGGTGCAGCGTGAAAAGCGTACATGTTTATTAACTAAATAAACATTCAACAAAAGTCCAAAGGGCTATACACATACCAGCCTAACAGGAACAAGATCCCACAATACACAGTAGGCAATGGGCTACCTAAGTATGATCCCCAATCAGAGACAAAGAGCGACAGCTGCCTCTGATTGGGAATCATACCCGGCCAGACATAGAAATAGAATAACTAGAACCTAAACATAGAATATATAACATAGATTCCACACCCTGACTCAACAAACAAGAGTTCTATAGGTCAGGGCGTGACATAAACACACACAAACACACACACACGCACTCTAGTGGTGCCCGGGTCAGCTGTTTGTTCACCCGCACCCACCCACAATTGCTAATAACCCATCCGCAACCGCCCGACTATATGTGCACCCGACCCTAACCCGCAAATATAGAAAATGTGCTGTAGGCTACAGTCAGAGAGAGCGGAATGATTTTTTGACAGGGGGTGCAGGATTTTTTGCCTAATTTAGATATGTTTCTGCTTATAATTTCTGACATGTTGGTAGGCTATTTGTTAGTCAACTTGTCTATAATTAGATACAGCCAGCTTCTCTTCAGTCATTATATGTTGCCCTAGAAGACTAAATAAACCCTTGCTCACCAGATTGTCATAAATTATAGAATGAATGCTTCAATCTAGTTGACATCGGTAAAGTTTTCTCTCTCCTCTCTGCTTCTTTCGTGGAGCAAAGAGGTTTAGAGACCGGGGTGAAAATGCAATAACAACAAAATGTATGGGAAAGTTTCCAAATGAGATCAGTTTGACCGGTTGTAAGGAAATAGAAAGCTGTGAAAACGACCCAACATGTTTCTGATAAGATTTCAGTTTGGCTTGGATGCATATTTTATGTGGTTGAAATACTATCAGCTTTAATGATGCTGATAAAGATAGCACCTCTACAGACTGGCCTCTAATTTTTTTCGGCACAGAGCAAATTTCAGGTCTGCTGAGCACAAACTTGAACGTTGTGAAAATTCTGTGCCACTTCCAGCACACGTTTACTATGAACACTGAGGCTGTACCCGCTTTAATATACAGTTTCAGACAGTGGTCAAGTAGGCTACTGTGGCTATTTAATCATAATGTAGGCCTACCAGAGTGGCAATGGATAAAATGCATCCCATAACATTTTAACATGGAAATAGCTGTTCTATAATTCAGCCTACAGTAGCAGCCAATGTGTGGTGTCAATGTAGGCCTACACTCCATTAGACTTTTGAAAAAAACATGCAGTGCTTGACATTAACCTGTTTTTCCACATGTCCTTCAAGGAGGTGACTGAAAATGTTGTTGTGTTGTTTGATTCAAGAAACCACTTTACAAAATAAAATGCATTATTATTCCCATACCGTTATTACAGAGAATCAGACAAATTATGCTACCCTCTGTATAAGAATACAGTTGTATTCCAGCCACTAGGGGGTAGTCCATTGGAAATGTAGAAGAAAGGTTTAAGTGAACTGGGGGAGAGGAAGAAAAAACTATTTTAAAAAACTGCTGTTACATCATGCTGACATTATTAAAATTCAAGTAAACAGTACCTTTCGTGTTGGAGTTTATATTATAAGCTCAAAGAAAGGGTAACATCTGCCTATTGGCTACTTAGCTTATTCATGCCTGTTTCAAAATACAACACTGCCCCTTTAAGACAAAAAAAAGCTCTTTACCCGACTCACTTTTCAAAGGTGTCTAGAAATGTACACGTTTTGTGCTCTTGTAGGAAGCAATCACTCCCCCATTGCTGACTGCAAATTATCTATAACTGGGCTAATAACTCATTAACTAGCAAAGGCTATGAACAAATGTGCACAGGTGACTACATGCAGCTCTCGATTTGATCTCAAACAAGCGCATCTACTTATGACCGCTCATGCTGTAAACACAGTCCAGTTCAAAGTGAATTACACAGATCCATAAATGGCAATGGTCTATTTGCATATAGGCCTACTGCAGCTCTGATTGGTTATGCCACACCAGTCTGTGTAGAGTACGGGCTGAGTTGTGATTGTCAATGCAATAGAATCCTACTCCGATGCGTTCTACCTACAACAAAATCTCTTGCATAGTTAGTTTTGCATACTAAGTGTTGCGTAGTTCGTTTTGTTTCGGTATGTTGCATTGAAAGTGGCTGATATTGCGTTGATTCGATCACAATTCCCACAGTAAAGGGAAAAGTTGGTAGTGTTAACTAATGCGGAAAAGTAGAAAGTTGAGTGAAGTTCAATCTCGTGCTTCTCTGCGCTGGCTGATATTTCTTCTGCACGGCAGTCCCTGGGGAGCTTAGAGGGAACATTGCTAGCGTACTACATACCCAAATTCAACAGACATGCATCGCATTAATCAGCCTGATAATAGCTCATTTCCAATTCTATACATTTGTCTAAACTCTGAATAGAATAGAAATTGAGTTATAGGCCTACTCAGGCTGGTTATAGGCAAACTATCACATTCGACCTATAACACAGCCTATA